GCTGAGTACAACCTCTAATCGCAAAACTTGTGTAGATTATTTATAACATAACATCATACTTGTTGTTGCTTCACAGTGAGCGCTGTAAGTCCATTTTTGGAAAAGGATTTCGGCCTCCTGTACAGTATTTTTATCTTTCTGATCATCGCCTGCTTCTCTTGGCTCGCCGTCTTTTGTATCGAGTTCAAGCTTCACATTTTCTTATGGTAAGTGTAAGTGTGGCACATACCACAAAACTGAAGCTAAACCCTGATGTGTGATGATGTGTGAAGCTGTGTCATGATGTGTCATGTGGGATGATGTGTGATGATGTGTCAGGATGTGTCATGATGTTTCATGATGTGTGACGATGTGTGATGTGTGTTAATGTGTGTTGATGTGTGTTGATTTGTGTTGATGTGTGTTGATGTGTGTTGATGTGTGTTGATGTGTGATGTGTGATGATGTGTGATGATGTGTGATGACAAAAAAAATTAAATTTAACTCGTAAATAAATCATTGATTTATTTTTATAACACACACACAGTGTAATTATCGTCTCGCTTGAGTTACTTTATTACTACCACACACACACACAAACACACACACGCACACTGTAAATGTCGTCACGCATGAGTTACTACAGACGTACAGTTTGTATTGCAGGAGATCGTGTTTCTACTACAAAATCATCATGAGGAAAGCGTCCTATCCTCGCCCGATCCACGAAGATGTGGATGTCAAAGCAGAAAGGGAGAAAATCAAAACAACAGACATCGCTACCCTCAAGAAAAAGAGTATAGTTATTACTACTCGTTTCTTAGTTTTATTTTCCTTCTTTTATGTACATTAACGGTGTTGGTGGATCATAGAACTTACGACTGCTAGTCAGTCTCGAGATTAAAACCAGGCTTTAGACTGTTGGACTGAGTCGACTCAGCTCTGATTGGTACCTGGCTCATGTTACGGAAACTACGGCAGTTGGGTTGACCACGCTATCCCCTTGTATGAGGAGGTAAAGGAAACAGATGAGCTTTACTTCATCTGTCCCATGTGTCATGGACACAAACGGGAAAAGATAATGATGATATGTAGTACGTCAAGTAGATACATCTGCGTTTTGTCTGTGCCTAAAGATTTAACAGTAGGATGTTACCCAAACAAGTTTGTCACCCAAACAAGTTTGTCGCCCAAACAAGTTTGTCGCCCAAACAAGTTTGTCGCCCAAACAAGTTTGTCACCCAAACAAGTTTGTCACCCAAACAAGTTTGTCACCCAAACAAGTTTGTCACCCAAACAAGTTTGTCACCCAAACAAGTTTGTCACCCAAACAAGTTTGTCGCCCAAACAAGTTTGTCGCCCAAACAAGTTTGTCACCCAAACAAGTTTGTCACCCAAACAAGTTTGTCACCCAAACAAGTTTGTCACCCAAACAAGTTTGTCACCCAAACAAGTTTGTCACCCAAACAAGTTTGTCACCCAAACAAGTTTGTCACCCAAACAAGTTTGTCACCCAAACAAGTTTGTCACCCAAACAAGTTTGTCACCCAAACAAGTTTGTCACCCAAACAACTTTGTCACCCAAACAAGTTTGTCACACAAACAAGTTTGTCACCCAAACAAGTTTGTCACCCACATGTGACGTTGACTCGCCAGACGCCATCCTGCTGGTAGACGCCCAGAAGAACTACGCCCGCCAATGCTCGTCTCGCTGTGCTGTACATTCGCTCAGTCTCAGCATCGGCCACAACGAGTGTTTCGGCATTCTCGGCCAAACTGGCTCGGGGAAGACAACCATCTTTAAGATGTTGACTGGGGAGATTTCCATTACGCAGGGGGACATATTCGTTCACGGGGATAGTGTCAAGACCACACGGGTAAGCTCATCGTGTCCTGTCCGTATACGTCTGTTATATAAAGATTTATCTAAATCACTTTGGTCAAGATGGCGACTGACAAGTGGAGGCGTCAACTGGTTTACAAACAGGTGTGCGGACAAAATAAGAAATAGTTTGAATACATGTTTCAGCAAACAATGATTCTAATATACTAGCCGTCGGTACCCGTTACACGTGAATCATAGGTCTATATATTTTAATGGTATACATTTTTAGAAGAATATTTTATAAAATTAGTTATTCAAGTTATTGGTCAAAACGCAATGCGCTTTGCTACAGGTTTAACGATATTAGTGACAATGCAAAGAAATAACTAAATAGCTAAATGTCCGATACATATAAAAATAACATAGGCTACTTATAACTATTAGAAAAAATAAAACAAAATTATATACATAATTAGTCAACACAACACCATATTAAATGCACACATTGATTATAAGAAATGATTACGTTAAAAACCCGGCTTTTCAACAATATTTATGCTGTTTTTTTTAAGTAATTTGTATTAGTTTTGGCCGAGGAAATTGTATAAAGTTCATAAATTATGTCTCGATAAGTAAATCTATAGATCAAACCAAATTTTAATGAAATAGTTCATTTCTTAGTATTCTAAAATTGGAAGATGACGCCATTGGTTTTGTGTACTTTCCTTACTTCAAACATATGACATGTGACGTCATCGATTTCGGCGTTCTTGTCCCAACTATAAACACTTTTCCGGTTGCTTAATTAAAACTGTTTTTCTACATTAGAATATGCCTTTATTTTTTTTTTCTTCTTTAAATAAAATTGTGTTTATACATTTAAAACATCTACCATATTATTTTCAACAAAAGTCCGTATTAAGTTCTCCATATATCGCTGAAGATTCTGATGTGATATCCTGCGAAAATATTTTGCGGACAGAGAAAGAGAGAAGTGCGCACATGGTCTTTTATATATTAGGATATCTATAAGTATAAGTACATTCAATATTGGACTAAATCCCGACAACTGGTTTGCGAGGCTTACAGGCCATGTAGGTTATGAGAGTATTGATTGGTATATTGTCCTCCACAAAAGTCACCCTCCACCAGCCCTTATTTACATCCAGCTTCCTGAACCAGCTCATCTGGCTAATCTCTCCATCACGCTGTTCTTTTTATACGTTGGCTTCAAATTAAATTGTAATAACTAACTTAATTAATTCGAGTGAAGTAGAGATATGTTTGAGTTATGAACGGAGATGAGATTATCTGACGGCCATCACTCCATTTGAAAAGGGTCAAAACTTGAGTTTTTACCACAAACACACAAACATCCACACGCAAAAACGAGCAGCAGTTACGCGTATAAACAAATATCTGAGCAAAGCAGGGGAAATAAGGTGTGTTGTTGTGTGACAGACCCAAAAGACGATCGGCTACTGCCCCCAGTTGCCGGCACTCCAACACAGACTGACGGGGCGTGAGGTGCTCCTCCTGTACGCCAGGCTCAAGGGGGTCGTTGGGGACAGTGTGTCCCAGCTGGTGGAAGATATTATAGACTTCATCAAGCTCAGGCCGCATGAGGACAAGCAGACCAAAAACTACAGGTAAACGGGCAGCGGGCGTGCTATTTGGGTGTGTCTTAAGACAATTGGCGAGCTGTTTGGGTGTGTCTTAAGACTGTGGGCGAGCTATTTGGGTGTGTCTTTAGACTGTGGGCGTGCTATTTGGTTGTGTCTTTAGACTGTGGGCGAGCTATTTGGGTGTGTCTTAAGACAGTGGGCGTGCTATTTGGGTGTGTCTTAAGACAGTGGGCGAGCTATTTGGTTGTGTCTTTAGACAGTGGTCGAGCTATTTGGGTGTGTCTTAAGACAGTGGGCGTGCTATTTGGGTGTGTCTTAAGACAGCGGGCGTGCTATTTGGGTGTGTCTTAAGACTGTGGGCGAGCTATTAGGGTGTGTCTTAAGACAGTGGGCGTGCTATTTGGGTGTGTCTTAAGACAGCGGGCGAGCTATTTAGTTGTGTCTTAAGACAGTGGGCGAGCTATTTGGTGTGTGTCTTAAGACTGGGCGAGCTATTTGGGTGTGTCTTAAGACAGTGGGCGTGCTATTTGGGTGTGTCTTAATTAAGACTGTGGGCGTGCTATTTGGGTGTGTCTTTAAACAGTGGACGAGCTATTTGGGTGTGTCTTAAGACAGCGGGCGAGCTATTTGGTTGTGTCTTAAGACAGTGGGCGAGCTATTTGTGTGTGTCTTAAGACAGTGGGCGAGCTATTTGTGTGTGTCTTAAGACAGTGGACGAGCTATTTGGGTGTGTCTTAAGACAGTGGGCGTGCTATTTGGGTGTGTCTTAAGACAGTGGACGAGCTATTTGGGTGTGTCTTTAGACTGTGGGCGTGCTATTTAGTTGTGTCTTTAGACTGTGGGCGAGCTATTTGGGTGTGTCTTAAGACAGTGGGCGTGCTATTTGGGTGTGTCTTAAGACAGTGGGCGAGCTATTTGGTTGTGTCTTAAGACAGTGGACGAGCTATTTGGGTGTGTCTTAAGACAGTGGGCGTGCTATTTGGGTGTGTCTTAAGACAGTGGACGAGCTATTTGGGTGTGTCTTAAGACAGTGGGCGTGCTATTTGGGTGTGTCTTAAGACAGTGGGCGAGCTATTTGGGTGTGTCTTAAGACAGTGGGCGAGCTATTTGGGTGTGTCTTTAGACTGTGGGCGAGCTATTTGGTTGTGTCTTAAGACAGTGGACGAGCTATTTGGGTGTGTCTTTAGACTGTGGGCGAGCTATTTGGTTGTGTCTTAAGACCTTTGGCGAGCTGTTTGGGTGTGTCTTAAGACTGTGGGCGAGCTATTTGGGTGTGTCTTAAGACAATGGGCGTGCTATTTGGGTGTGTCTTAAGATAGTGGGCGTGCTATTTGGGTGTGTCTTAAGACAGTGGGCGTGCTATTTGGGTGTGTCTTAAGACAGTGGGCGTGCTATTTGGGTGTGTCTTAAGACAGTGGGCGTGCTATTTGAGTGTGTCTTAAGACAGTTGGCGTGCTATTTGGGTGTGTCTTAAGACAGTGGGCGTGCTATTTGGGTGTGTCTTAAGACAGTGGGCGTGCTATTTGGGTGTGTCTTAAGACAGTGGGCGTGCTATTTGGGTGTGTCTTAAGACAGTGGGCGTGCTATTTGGGTGTGTCTTAAGACAGTTGGCGTGCTATTTGGGTGTGTCTTAAGACAGTGGGCGTGCTATTTGGGTGTGTGTTAAGACAGTGGGCGTGCTATTTGGGTGTGTCTTAAGACAGTGGGCGTGCTATTTGGGTGTGTCTTAAGACAGTGGGCGTGCTATTTGGGTGTGTCTTAAGACAGTGGGCGTGCTATTTAAGGACGAACCCTTACCTTGCTACTTATTTGTGCCGCCTTGCTCGATAAGTTATTGTTTCTATGTAAGCCTGCGTATCTGTTAAAGTATATCCCAATGTCAATTAAAGAAAGATTTTTTCATTTGAATATTTTCAACATTTTTACTTTCGCTTGCTTTATGGGTTGGCCCATAAACGACGCCACACTCCTGGGGCGAGGGGTTTCGGAATTACCGATATGTGACAAGGTGGAGTGGGGGGGGGGTGTCAAAGTTTGACGTTACATATTTACAATTATAAAAAGTAGCCTTTATTTAATTAACACTGAACTGAAGCAGTCATTTCGTACTTTTAAAGATATTTTGTCCATCGCAATATAAATCGAGCAATATACCTAGACTTTGCAAAACTCAGTATTTAAGAAGTTGAACTGCTCTTTCAAAATGTAATTAAATGTAACGAACCTTTAAAGAATTCCCAAGACAATAATTACAGTTACTCTAAATTGTATACTTAAGCCTAATGCTATTTTCTAGCAACGGAACTAAAAGAAAACTGTCAGTTGGAATCGCCATAGTGTGTAACCCCAACCTGCTGGTACTAGATGATCCCACGGCTGGGATGGATCCGGTCTCTCGGCGAAACATGTGGGACATTATGCTCTCCATCAAGGCTCATAAAAGGACGATACTGATGACATCACACAGGTACATTTATAGAGCTTGTACAAGTTCCAACAGGCAAATTTATATAGCTTGTACAAGTTCCAACAGGTACATTTATATAGCTTGTACAAGTTCCAACAGGTAAATTTATATAGCTTGTACAAGTTCCAACAGGTAAATTTATATAGCTTGTACAAGTTCCAACAGGTAAATTTATATAGCTTGTACAAGTTCCAACAGGTATATTTATATAGCTTGTATAAGTTCCAACAAGTAAATTTATATAGCTTGTACAAGTTCCAACAGGTACATTTATATAGCTTGTACAAGTTCCAACAGGTAAATTTATATAGCTTGTACAAGTTCCAACAGGTAAATTTATATAGCTTGTACAAGTTCCACAGGTAAATTTATATAGCTTGTACAAGTTCCAACAGGTAAATTTATATAGCTTGTACAAGCTCCAACAGGTAAATTTATATAGCTTGTACAAGTTCCAACAGGTAAATTTATATAGCTTGTAAAAGTTCCAACATGTAAATTTATATAGCTTGTACAAGTTCCAGCAGGTAAATTTATATAGCTTGTACAAGTTCCAACAGGTAAATTTATATAGCTTGTACAAGTTCCAACAGGTAAATTTATATAGCTTGTACAAGTTCCAACAGGTAAATTTATATAGCTTGTACAAGCTCCAACAGGTAAATTTATATAGCTTGTACAAGTTCCAACAGGTAAATTTATATAGCTTGTAAAAGTTCCAACATGTAAATTTATATAGCTTGTACAAGTTCCAGCAGGTAAATTTATATAGCTTGTACAAGTTCCAACAGGTAAATTTATATAGCTTGTACAAGTTCCAACAGGTAAATTTATATAGCTTGTACAAGTTCCAACAGGTAAATTTATATAGCTTGTACAAGTTCCAACAGGTACATTTATGTAGCTTCTACAAGTTCCAACAGGTAAATTTATATAGCTTGTACAAGCTCCAACAGGTACATTTATGTAGCTTGTACAAGTTCCAACAGGTAAATTTATATAGCTTGTACAAGTTCCAACAGGTAAATTTATATAGCTTGTACAAGTTCCAACAGGTAAATTTATATAGCATGTACAAGTTCCAACAGGTAAATTTATATAGCTTGTACAAGTTCCAACAGGTAAATTTATATAGCTTGTACAAGTTCCAACAGGTAAATTTATATAGCTTGTACAAGTTCCAACAGGTAAATTTATATAGCTTGTACAAGTTCCAACAGGTAAATTTATATAGCTTGTACAAGTTCCTACAGGTACATTTATATAGCTTGTACAAGTTCCAACAGGTAAATTTATATAGCTTGTACAAGTTCCAACAGGTAAATTTATATAGCTTGTACAAGTTCCAACAGGTAAATTTATATAGCTTGTACAAGTTCCAACAGGTAAATTTATATAGCTTGTACAAGCTCCAACAGGTAAATTTATATAGCTTGTACAAGTTCCAACAGATAAATTTATATAGCTTGTAAAAGTTCCAACAGGTAAATTTATATAGCTTGTACAAGTTCCAGCAGGTAAATTTATATAGCTTGTACAAGTTCCAACAGGTAAATTTATATAGCTTGTACAAGTTCCAACAGGTAAATTTAAATAGCTTGTACAAGTTCCAACAGGTAAATTTATATAGCTTGTACAAGTTCCAACAGGCAAATTTATATAGCTTGTACAAGTTCCAACAGGCAAATTTATATAGCTTGTACAAGTTCCAACAGGTTAATTTATATAGCTTGTACAAGTTCCAACAGGTAAATTTATATAGCTTGTACAAGTTCCAACAGGTAAATTTATATGCTTGTACAAGTTCCAACAGGTAAATTTATATAGCTTGTACAAGTTCCAACAGGCAAATTTATATAGCTTGTACAAGTTCCAACAGGTAAATTTTATATAGCTTGTACAAGTTCCAACAGGCAAATTTATATAGCTTGTACAAGTTCCAGCAGGTAAATTTATATAGCTTGTACAAGTTCCAACAGGTAAATTTATATAGCTTGTACAAGTTCCAACAGGTACATTTATATAGCTTGTACAAGTTCCAACAGGTAAATTTATATAGCTTGTACAAGTTCCAACAGGCAAATTTATATAGCTTGTACAAGTTCCAACAGGTAAATTTATATAGCTTGTACAAGTTCCAACAGGCAAATTTATATAGCTTGTACAAGTTCCAACAGGTAAATTTATATAGCTTGTACAAGTTCCAACAGGTAAATTTATATAGCTTGTACAAGTTCCAACAGGTAAATTTATATAGCTTGTACAAGTTCCAACAGGTAAATTTATATAGCTTGTACAAGTTCCAACAGGCAAATTTATATAGCTTGTACAAGTTCCTAAAGGTAGATATACCTAGCGTATACTTTATTTATGTAGAATTACATAGATTATATAAGTAGACATTAATAAATGTATATAGTTTCCACAAGCTCACAAATGTAGATTTATAGTTTCCACAAGCTCACAAATTTAGATTTAATAAAGTTAACAGAATTGGTTTAGGGTCCAGTCTTTCGTCTGATTAACTCGTTCTTCTATTTTCGCATTTTCGTGTTGAGTGTACAACACATTATATACCCTGGTATTTAATTGAAAATGGGAGAATGTGATACTACGGAATGGCCATTTGCTAACCTAGAAGACATGAGTATAAGAAATACTTACGTCTTTAGACAGCAAACATCAGCAGGTTTGTACTGATCAGTGTCAAGGTGATTCTGTTAGTCAAGGTTTCAGCTGTAGTCCTAATCTCTAGGCATGGTGAATCTGTTAGTCAAGGTTTCAGCTGTAGTCCTAATCTCTAGGCATGGTGAATCTGTTAGTCAAGGTTTCAGCTGTAGTCCTAATCTCTAGGCATGGTGAATCTGTTAGGATTAGGGTCAAGGTTTCAGCTGTAGTCCTAATCTCTAGGCATGGTGAATCTGTTAGTCAAGGTTTCAGCTGTAGTCCTAATCTCTAGGCATGGTGAATCTGTTAGTCAAGGTTTCAGCTGTAGTCCTAATCTCTAGGCATGGTGAATCTGTTAGGATTAGTGTCAAGGTTTCAGCTGTAGTCCTAATCTCTTGTGTATGGTGAATCTGTTAGGATTAGGGTTCAGCTGTAGTCCTAATCTCTAGGCATGGTGAATCTGTTAGGATTAGCGTCAAGGTTTCAGCTGTAGTCCTAATCTCTAGGCATGGTGAATCTGTTAGTCAAGGTTTCAGCTGTAGTCCTAATCTCTAGGCATGGTGAATCTGTTAGGATTAGTGTCAAGGTTTCAGCTGTAGTCCTAATCTCTTGTGTATGGTGAATCTGTTAGGATTAGGGTTCAGCTGTAGTCCTAATCTCTAGGCATGGTGAATCTGTTAGGATTAGTGTCAAGGTTTCAGCTGTAGTCCTAATCTCTAGGCATGGTGAATCTGTTAGTCAATGTTTCAGCTGTAGTCCTAATCTCTTGTGTATGGTGAATCTGTTAGGTTTAGAGTCAAGGTTTCAGATGTAGTCCTAATCTCTAGGCATGGTGAATCTGTTAGGATTAGGGTCAAGATTTCAGCTTAGTCCTAATCTCTTGTGCTTTAAACCATCATAAGTTACATATTCTACAACATAAGTTACATATTCTACAACATAAGCTACATATTCTACAACATAAGTTACATATTCTACAACATAAGTTACATATTCTACAACATAAGTTACATATTCTACAACATAAGTTACATATTCTACAGCATAAGCTACATATTCTACAACATAAGTTACATATTCTACAACATAAGTTACATATTCTACAACATAAGTTACATATTCTACATCATAAGTTACATATTCTACAACATAAGCTACATATTCTACAACATAAGTTACATATTCTACAACATAAGTTACATATTCTACAACATAAGTTACATATTCTACAACATAAGTTACATATTCTACAACATAAGCTACATATTCTACAACATAAGTTACATATTCTACAACATAAGTTACATATTCTACAACATAAGTTACATATTCTACATCATAAGTTACATATTCTACAACATAAGTTACATATTCTACAACATAAGCTACATATTCTACATCATAAGTTACATATTCTACAACATAAGCTACATATTCTAAGACTAAACCGGGTTATTTTCAGACATTTTCTTCGGCATTGGTGGGGGGGGGGGGGGGGGGGGGCTTGAAACTTCTGGGAGGCACACTTAAAATTTGCTGCTTCGTCCGGATGCTGTACACGTGCTCCGGGTTTGAGGATGTGGGGGGGGGCGCTGATTCTATATCACGGGTAAATTACCATGTTTAATTCATCGTAATACATATGAGAAACTATAGGTTATTCCATCGATTCAGCTAAAGACAAACTTTATTTTTATTTGTTAACACATTTAAGAAGCTCCCATGCTTTAAACTTCTTTACCTCTTTTTTAAACGTATTTTTTATTTTCAGCATAGAGGAATTCTTAACTTTTTAAACCTATTTTTTACTTTCAGCATAGAGGAATTCTAAACTTTTTAAACGTATTTTTTTACTTTCAGCATAGAGGCATGCTAAACATTTTTAAACTTATTTTTTACATTTCAGCATAGAGGAATGCCAAGCTTTGTGCGGTAAATTTGCTATCATTAAAAAGGGACAGTTACTTTGCCTAGGAAGCCGAGAAAGTTTGGAGAACAAATTTAAAACAGTTTATTCAGTATTCCTTTACGCCAATCAGTTAGAAAACGGACTTTTGATACCAATAGAACCGGCTGTAGATTTCGTGCATGGATCATTTATAAATGTTGTGGTATGTAGAAATATTTACATTTATTATATATACAGAAATCATTATCATTATATTTTCGGTTTGTGTCCAAGACACATGGGGCAGATTAAGTAGAGTTAAATTATCTCGGCATTCGAGGGGTAGTGTGGTCAGCGCTTAGTTTTCCTAACGTTAGTCAGGTCTCAGAAGTGGAGCCACGAGACCAACCATAAGAAGAGAGGCGGAAGTCGTGAATACTTTTTTTTAGGCCTAGTCACTAGTCAGCAAGACAGAAATACGACTATAAATATCAGACTTCCGACACTAGGAAATATTCGATTACTATTATTAAGGTATGTTTCCCAGAAAAATACGCAATCGAAAAAACTGTGCAAAGGAAAACTGCGCGAGCCGAAAAAGGCGCGAATACTAACTAATAATTCTAATACACGTTAATTTTGTCATATTTCATGGAAATATGTTTTATTATACTACGGTGTACATGTGGTCACTCTTTGAGCAATGGAAAACTGCGCGAGCCGAAAAAGGCGCAAATACTAACTAATAATTCTAATACACGTTAACTTTGTCATATTTCATGGCAATATGTTTTATTATACTACAGTGTACATGTAGTCACTATTTGTTAATGACTATAAATGCTCGAATTTAGAAAACAAAAATGCCATTGAGCACTTTTAATGCGCAGTTTTCGGTTGCGCATCTTTCCGGTCTCCGGTTTGTATCAGTCACATCTGGAATAAGTTCTGTTGTTTTTTTCAGTTGTTCAGTAAACAAAAGGCCCTGTGCCAGCTACAAATACCCCAGCATGTTCGACTGTCTGCACTCTTCACTATCTTAGAGAAGGCCAAAGAAAGTTACAATTTAAAACACTACACGGTGCAGAAAACTTCATTAGAGCAAATCTTCTTCAAGATGATTAAGGAAGAACATTACTAGATCTTGTACAACACATTTTTACTGAAATAAACGGACAAATTTAAGTATCGCATTGGCCGCACTTCGGGCTTTGGCAGTAACATATATATATATATATATATATATATATATATATATATATATATATATATATATATATATATATATATATATATATATGTCTGTGTGTGTATGTCTGTGTGTCTATGCGTGTTTGGGTGTGTGTGTGCGTGTGTGTTTGCCTATGTATGTTTGAGTTATTTTATTGAGTAAGTTGAATAAGAGTTAATTTTAAAAATGTACACTTAATTTTGTAATATTGATAGGATTGGTTACTAAAGATGGAACTTTCAGGGAAAAGATAAATCGGGGTGGGGAGGGGGGTTGCAAATTAAACAAAATTATTGTGAACCACTGATTATGTAGCATGTAATTTGAGGAAATGTTATTTGATGCAACCAGAATACACTTTTTTGTTTACCTAAATCCGAAAACTTTGTTAGTTTTCTATTTTAATTACCTAATGGGGGGGGACCTTTATGAATAACGCCACAGTCACACTGATGATGTGTTGAAAAGGTTAAAAAAAAATACTGCATAAACCGGGCGCTGGGTGTCATTAAGAGAAGAACTACACCCAGTTAACATAGTCTGACAAACCAAGATCGGGCCTAGATATATATCTTGATATTTGAAATCCATGATATAGCCAACATTGGGCAAAGATATAGCTTTATTGGGTCAAGATGTAACCATGATATAGCCAATATTGAGCCAAGATGTAACCAAGATATAGCCAATATTGGGCCAAGATATAGCCAATATTGAGCCAAGATGTAACCAAGATATAGCCAATATTGGGCCAAGATATAGCCAATATTGAGCCAAGATGTAACCAAGATATAGCCAATATTGAGCCAAGATGTAACCAAGATATAGCCAATATTGGGCCAAGATATAGCCTTTATTGGATCACGATGTAACCATGATATAGCCAATATTGGGCCAAGATATAGCCAACATTGGGTAAAGATATAACCAAGATATAGCCAACATGGGGCCAAGATATAGCCTTTATTTGGCCAAGATATAACCAAGATATAGCCAACATGGGGCCAAGATATAGCCAATATTGGGCCAAGATGTAACCAAGATATAGCAAATGCTTGGCCAAGATATAGCCAATATTGGGCCAAGATGTAACCAAGTTATAGCAAATGTTTGGCCAAGATATAGCCAATATTGGGCCAAGATGTAACCAAGTTATAGCAAATGTTTGGCCAAGATATAGCCAATATTGAGCCAAGGTGTAACCATGATATAGCAAATGTTTGGCCAAGATATAGCCAATATTGGGCCAAGATGTAACCAAGATATAGCAAATGTTTGGCCAAGATATAGCCAATATTGGGCCAAGATGTAACCAAGATATAGCAAATGTTTGGCCAAGATATAGCCAATATTGGGCCAAGATGTAACCAAGATATAGCAAATGTTTGGCCAAGATATAGCCAATATTGGGCCAAGATGTAACCAAGATATAGCAAATGTTTGGCCAAGATAGAGCCAATATTGAGCCAAGATGTAACCAAGATATAGCAAATGTTTGGCCAAGATATAGCCAATATTGAGCCAAGATGTAACCAAGATATAGCCAGTATTTGGCCAAAGTGTAAGTCTGATATATCTAATATTGATTCAATATCTTTCCAAGCTTCACTACCAATGCTAGGCCAATATTGGGCCAAGGTGTAGCCAATATTGATAATGAATGTTTATCCTATACTGGGCCAATATTCGTGTGTTGACAGATCTGACAATTGGTCATTTTTTTGTATGGTAATAGCAGGCCAACTACTCTTTTAGTGATTTACGAAAAGTCATTTTCCACGGTAACTGAACAACGACTGTGGTCCGAAAACTTAGCTAGAGGAGGATATTGGGAAATTTAGACTGAGTGCAGCTGGGCTTTAAGAGGATGTCCACGCGATAAACAAACTTAAGACAATGTCAACAAGATAACCCCCCTCCCCATCGTCACTATACGTCACACATCGTCAAAAAATGCCAGACACCCCCCCCCCCCCCCCCCCCAAAGAACGTAACACAGGAGCTTGAAAGTCCCTTCAAAATTGTAGTTTTAGTTGTTTTTTTAATATTGATTTCTTGAGTATATCAATCAGTTTCTATAAAAATTTACAAAAAGCCATTTTAGAAATGGAAATTAACGGCTAAAACTCAGTTTCTAACATTGCTTTTTAAATTTTAAAACCGTGTCGTTTAACTTTCTGACCCCCCCCCCCCCCCCCAGTGTTTCTTCCAAACTTTTTTCTCCGGGGGGGCACTTGAAATTTTCGGGGGGGGGGCGGTAGACTTTCTTCGGGGGGGGGGGGGGGCGGACACTGTTAAAAGTATATATTTTCTATATATAAATATATAAATTTCATTTCGTTCGGGGGGGGGGGCGGTAAAAAAAATTTCGGTGGGGGGGGGAGCTTCGCCCCCCCCCCCGAAGAGATGCCTGGAAGAAACTCTGCCCCCCCCCCCCCCCCTCCCTTCCTCCCAGAATAAAAAAAAATTCGAACGCCCCGTCACCTTATACCCCTCCCCCTTTTTGGAGTATCATTTGTGGACGGACACCCACCAACCGACCCCTTCTTCTCCCCCCCCCTCACTCGTAAATAAATATTAGATCAAGTAAAAAAGAGTGCAAACGGAGCTAGTAAGTTTATATACAGTGGTCGCTGAGCGGCTAAATGCACTCCAAGTAAAAATTTGTGGAAAGAGATGTGTTTGTAGTGGGAGGTTACACAATATAGTTAGTCTCATATAAATTCAATTTTCTTCAAATTATAAAAAGAATAGCATATAATTGTAGAGCTTTAAAAATGCAATCCAACAGTACCAATTTTATTAATTTAGCATAATCGGTTGACTAAATATAATTTTTTTAGTGTCGCAAATAAAATATATAGAAACGCGACCAAAAACGCAGGTAAAAAGTCAAATTCACTAGTTTTAAAGCTAGTAAGCAAGAAAAGACATGATTCTTTCTTACTATTGAAATCAGTTTGCTTATACCTACATTTTTTTACACCAAGGTGAAAGTAAATAGTTTATATAAATTTATAAAATGCCATTTATATAATTTATTGTATGTTTTGTGATGAATTTTCAATTGGAAAATACCGCATTTGGAAGCAGAAAGGTAAATTCTACAGAACAGATGTTGTTTGGAATGTTATAGATTATAGATCTAGGCCTATATCAAAATGTTTGTTTAATAAAATTCAATTAGAGTCCACCCATTTCTGATGGGTACCTGATATACATTGGGGAAATTAAAGGTAAAAAGTAAAGGCGGCTGTGAATATCGCTGACCACACGGACAATCACTTCATATGCCAAGGTCAAGAAACATGAACTCTACTTCATCTGCCAAATAGATTGCTTTGTCTACAGAGGAATCTTAATTAATGTTTACAGGGGCCTAATAAAATTGAGTTATGTTTGTAAAAACAGTAGGCCTAAGCTTTAAAAACTTATTTTGGTCAATATCGGAAAAAATCTTTTTGACTAAATGGGTTGAAAAAAAGCTTTGAATTTGTTTCATTGTTTGTTATTATATCTTGTAGTATTTAGAATTGAAGCTTTCTTTCTTAATTACAAGTTGTATTAATTTCAAACCTTAATGTAATTTCTTTTTAATTCAGTATTAGCCTAAATGTAAGGTAGGCTACAGAATTCAGATATTACCTATGGTTTTGTGGTTTTATATGTTTATAACATTTGTATTTATGAAATGACCTAATGAAGTTATCAAGCAAACTGTTTTATTATTATTTTAATAGGCCTGCAAGTTATAAGTACAAAATATAGATATCTAATCACTAGATCTAGGTCTAAGTTTAAGAAAAAACTACCAAAAGGGTTTGAAATACTTAAATAATAGTACTAAAAGTAGCTATGTTTTGAAAAAAAAATATCTTAAACTGGAGACATTCAATTTAAAAGTCATTATAAAAACTCCACGATCTAGATTTATTTCTAGATCTCTAGTAGGAATACAGATTTAGAGGCTTTCCCATCAGTATCAATGTACTATCTTAGCTATGTGGGAGGTCAGTACGAGTTCACTGGGAAAAAAATCGGATCTGCCGTAGGGGGGTGGGTTTAGTGCGCAAATGCTCCTGACCGATTGCCAAAAGGTACAGAAATTCTAAAGATACATTTTAAAAGAAAAATGGACGGCTGAACTGCAGTTATCAAAATATCTGTGTAAGTAGAAGTATAAATTATAATATTTTACACAAATATAGCTGTCTTTTGCTAAATCTAGCTCAATTTCCACGAAAATCGCATCTGGTCGCAATAATTTTTATATCAGCTTGTCGGCCATTCAATGATCTATCACGTGTAGCAGACGCCAAACAGATTTACCCGTATGGTATTGCGCGAATGCTATTTTTAGCAACAGTGCCGAGACGCGATCGAAAAAAACGAACTAGAAAGTGGCCATAAAAAAGCGGGTCAGGGGAGGTAATTCAACTCGCATTATGAGACTAGCTACACAATAGCGTGATAGCAAATGCTTTACAGCAATAACATGTTTTGGGGAAGTATAAGGATTATTGAAAGTTAGTGTTACACTACAAGAGATTAATTCATTGTCTAAGCTCTGAGTTCGTAAGGGGATTAATTTTCGGTGGATTATTAATTAATTTAAGCTCGGGGCTTACTCATACTGATTGCCTTACTCATACTGATTGCGAAGTCTTTGTGTTCTGCAAGAGTTCAATACATACAACCCTAACCTTATCATTATCCCTCCCTAACTCAGCCTAACTGTAAAAATACAAAGACTTACACCAAAAACATACCTGCTGTCTTGGTGAAAGGGCCATTAGAAAAGCTAGACCAACTGCCTGTCAATAATATTTTAATAATGCTGACAGATTCAGTGTAGCACTGTAGTAAGTGGAAATAGTGTATACACACATTGAACATTGCATTTCATTATCATAAGAAATTTGCTCGTAATCTACTTTGCTGATCGTCCCTAGCCAAAATTAATTTAAATAGACCCTAATAAATAATTGATAGGCAGATATCTAGATTTCTAGATCTAGAATTTCTAGATGAACCGAAATCCTAAAATCGTCTGCTGAAAAAATCTAAGGGACTTAAGTATGAACTTCTTTCAGATTGTGGTATTCTTGAGTAGTCACCCCTGATCGTACCAAACAATTTTGAAGGTAAACAACCTGACGAGACCTACGCCAAACTAAAATTACTAAACTAAAAGGTATTCTTTATCTAGAAAAACTATAGCCTGTCTCTAATTTATTAGTTAAAATCTAGATGTAGATCATCAATGTAAATTGTCCGTGAAAGGACAAGAATCTCTAGAAATCTAGGTCTATCTGAAATATCTTTCTCTCAAGTTTCATCACAACTCACTGACTCACTAACACTTGCAACTGTGATTGGGATTCAAGAATCAATGTGATGACTCTGCTCTACTAGAGTCTGACTTTGAAGTCTGGAGAGTGGATTTCTCGACGTGTAGCATAAGTAATCATTTGTTTTTTAAGGAAGCCAAGATCTAAATCTGTTTTAAATTACTACATACATTATTTTTTAAAATTATCATGCATAGGGATAGTCTAAATTTAGTTTTAGAGTTTTTAAAGTAATATTAGAATCTAAATATTACTAAATAATATTAATACAATTATCTATATATATAATTCTCTTCTGGGAGACGTAAGAAAACAAGCTGCAAGCGCCTCCTTGCAGTCCCCTCTCTTTCTCTCTATCACTATCACTACCACCCCCACCCCACCCCCACATGGTCTGGTGAGCTGTGGTCACGTTTAATGTTTACAAATCGTAGAGCCGGGTTTAGTGACGGCTATTAGGGGCAGATAATTTAGTTTGAAACGATTTTAAACTTACAGGAGGTAACTAAGAGGCGGCTGCTTTCACTGGGGGGGGGGGGGTGTAGGGGCGGGGTTAGGGGAAGGGGGGGGGGTTAGTGCTTTAAAGCAAATATATTCAGTGGCAGCATTGGTGCTGTCGAATTCACAAATTATGAATTACTGAAAAGTAGAAAATAAAACAACTAAATAGCGGCGTATGATACGCCGCAGGTCGGCTCGTATAATATAATAAGCCAATAAGTATTATTAAAGTAAGTAGATCTATAAATAATAAAAAAAAAATATATCATTGACTATCAAGTAAGTAGTATCAAGAACTAAACTAAGAAATAGTGTCTAAAAAATGCTAAAAGTCGCTAAGTTTTCTCTGAACTCTAAGTCAAAGTGAGACTAGATCTAAGTGAATAAGAAGTAAAGGGAGTCTAAGTCTAGGCTAGGTCACCAAAAAACTAAGTCAGTAAGACTTAGTACAACAATAAGTACTAGAATCTCTAGTAACTAGCTTAAACTTAGTAACTAAACTACTCTAAACTAAAGGTTACTGGTTACACTATCACTTTTACTAGTATTACACTCTATTCTATCATGAATAGTTTAGATCTAATCTAGACATATAATGCACGGGTGTAGCGAGGAGAGGGTGGGTGTGGGCGCCGACCCTAAGGACACCAAACAGGATAAATAAAAAATTTCTTTCAAAGCTGCATTACTAAATTATTAAAGCTGCATTACTAAATTATCAAGTCAAAGTTAATAAAATAAACGACTACTTGGCTTTACAGACTTTTAAAACTGTTATCTACATCACCATAATAATAGGGTAAAATGACAGGTAAACAGTGCCTTGAACTTTCCAAAAGGGGCATGAGGGGGGGGGGGGGGGGGGAACAGGACCTTATTTCACTAATGTAAATATCTATAGGCTTATTTAAAGGGGTGGGGGGGTGGCGCGCAAATTTGCCCTGACCGTTGTCACTGACTTCATTTCACTGGGAATAGGCATCCTAACTTTACTTAGCCCACTATCAATTTACCAATTTTTAGATGAAGCAAAAAAGATATCTGGTGAAAAGCATTTGCCTATTTGAATCATTTTTCATAATTTTTATTTAGCGAATAAATTGGATGATTGAAATTCAATATTGTAAGCCCCAACTAACACCCGAAAAGTAGGTAGGAGAAATTCATATTAATCCCAAATTAAATATCTAACTAAAACAAAACATTGTTGGCTATGGGTTTTTTTTTAAAGTGTAAACAACATGTAAATTAGGAACCTGTGTTAGCAGCACCAACTGTACACTGCCCTTCATTCAGTGATCATGTGACCTCTTGGAACTAACATATAATTCCTTGAAAATCTTTAATTTAGGAATAGGTCATTTCTCGATCTCAACCCTTACTTGCAGCTCTTACTGACTATAAAATTAACAGCATCATCATCAAGTTAAAATCTTTGGGCTTCTATGAGATCTGTAGTTTCAGGGGAGAAAGCATTACATGGTTTTTGAGCTCTAGTTGCTTGAGGTCACATTTCCATTTCTAATCAGTGTTTGTCCCCTTGATGAACGATGTTGATAGTTTCATCTAAAGAAGTATCATCTTCAGATGCTGCCTTTATACTTGATAGAATTTAATCATCAGAAAAATCTATGATTATTTGAAAATAATATTTGAGTCAGGTATTTATTTTAGATTTTTGTTTTATTTCTTGCAGCCCAGAGAACTGAAGCTATCTGTCTGATTTGTTTCCCTTCATTAAATGAAGAGATTCAGAAGGTGAGTGCAGCCTGCATCTAACAACTTTCAACAAATATAACTGGTGTAATTGATAGGCTGATGAACAGTTGGTTGATACCATCTTTAAAGGTTATCTTAAATCTTGAACAATATCTGATCTGAAACATGGGCCTGACTTACTTATTAACCTGAATGAACCTGAAAAAGTATACAAAATAAAAAAAAACTCTGTAAAAACTTTTAAAATATCGTATGGTACCATTCCATGAAAGCATTTTACTGTTTCAGAAGTCACCTGCAAAACTTTATGATATCATTGATAGAGATCAACTATGACCTAAGCATTTATTTGTTTAAATAATCCTCATAAAAAGTGTATTAGACTACATTACAACATGGTGAAATATATTATTAACATCTCCAATGTTACTTGTAGCACTGAAGGCATTTCAACTTAATAATGTATTATATGTTTATATGTAGGTATGTGTGTTTATAACTATGTTTATAATAATACATATTGGCAATTGTGGCCTTATAATCTTAGTAGGCCATCTTTATTAACTAAAGTTTCTCACAACGCCCTATCAGGTTAAAAAAAAATTTAAACAAATTTAGACAAGGATGCTTAAAATGATAGCAATTAATTCAATAACTGTACAAATAAAGACTTAAAATGAAAGATAACAATTGTAAAAGATCCTCCTAACTATAGTCCTGGTAGCTATTGGATGGAGGCCCTCATTATCTCTTCAGCAAACTTCATTTATCTCTCACCATCTCCACTTGGGACTGTGGAAAATTACAACACAATGCTTCTATTGCTTTAGTAGTCGCAAGTAGTTTAATAATGGCAGGGGAACCAGGATTGTTTTTTGCCAAAAGTGACCCCCCTCCCCCTCCCCCAAACTTATTCCACTTCTGCTTGTACTTAATAAACATGTAGTTAATGAACATGTAATTAATGAATGCAAATTTTTTTTCTTCATCTCGTTCCAGTTCCCAACAAGCCTCAACTCCAGAGCACACATCACCAGTCACAAGACAGTTCAAATCTCCTGTCTGTAGAACTGTGAGTCATTGTTTGTCTTTGTTCAAATCTCCTGTCTGTAGAACTGTGAGTCATTTTTTGTCTTTATAAGACAGTTCAAATCTCCTGTCTGTAGAACTGTGAGTCATTTTTTGTCTTTATAAGACAGTTCAAATCTCCTGTCTGTAGAACTGTGAGTCATTGTTTGTCTTTGTTCAAATCTCCTGTCTGTAGAACTGTGAGTCATTTTTTGTCTTTATAAGACAGTTCAAATCTCCTGTCTGTAGAACTGTGAGTCATTTTTTGTCTTTATAAGACAGTTCAAATCTCCTGTCTGTAGAACTGTGAGTCATTGTTTGTCTTTGTTCAAATCTCCTGTCTGTAGAATTGGGAGTCATTGTTTGTCTTTGTTCAAATCTCCTGTCTGTAGAACTGTGAGTCATTGTTTGTCTTTATAAGACAGTTCAAATCTCCTGTCTGTAGAACTGTGAGTCATTGTTTGTCTTTGTTCAAATCTCCTGTCTGTAGAATTGTGAGTCATTGTTTGTCTTTATAAGACAGTTCAAATCTCCTGTCTGTAGAACTGTGAGTCATTGTTTGTCTTTATAAGACAGTTCAAATCTCCTGTCTGTAGAATTGGGAGTCATTGTTTGTCTTTGTTCAAATCTCCTGTCTGTAGAACTGTGAGTCATTGTTTGTCTTTATAAGACAGTTCAAATCTCCTGTCTGTAGAACTGTGAGTCATTGTTTGTCTTTATAAGACAGTTCAAATCTCCTGTCTGTAGAATTGGGAGTCATTGTTTGTCTTTGTTCAAATCTCCTGTCTGTAGAACTGTGAGTCATTGTTTGTCTTTATAAGACAGTTCAAATCTCCTGTCTGTAGAACTGTGAGTCATTGTTTGTCTTTATAAGACAGTTCAAATCTCCTGTCTGTAGAATTGGGAGTCATTGTTTGTCTTTGTTCAAATCTCCTGTCTGTAGAACTGTGAGTCATTGTTTGTCTTTGTTCAAATCTCCTGTCTGTAGAACTGTGAGTCATTGTTTGTCTTTGTTCAAATCTCCTGTCTGTAGAACTGTGAGTCATTGTTTGTCTTTATAAGACAGTTCAAATCTCCTGTCTGTAGAACTGTGAGTCATTGTTTGTCTTTATAAATCATGTCTGTATTGCCTTGTATTCAAGTAAAGCAACAAGGTAACCAGTCTACAAGCAAAAAGTAGAGTTTGTTCATCTCACCTGCTTGTTTATCTCACCTGTTTGTTCATGTCACCTTTAGTTCATGTCATCTCACCTGTTTGTTCATGTCACCTGTTTCTTCATCTCACTTGTTTGTTCATCTCACCTGTTAGTTCATGTCATCTCACCTGTTTGTAATAGTTTGGTCAGTTTATTCATCAGTGCTGGGTGGACATTCCATAGACTCAAGACCAGGATCTGAACTCCATACTTTCAAGTTAACAGTCTCACACTCTACCACCCAACCACACCACTCTATACTACAAATACAAACAGCAGTTTTTTATCCTGATTCACATCATTTACACATGGATGACCTACAAGCTTAACACTGACCATGACAGCTTAGGTCACTCTAATCCTTGCTTGAACATACTGGCACATTTGGTGGGCGTGTTGTGTTGTTCTTGTTGTTTTAAACAGCCCATAGATCTCCCATTATAAGCTGCCAATTGCACTGTGTATTTCCTGTTTGTCCAGGTAAGGTAAATAAAGGTTTATTCTTGCAGAGTAAAGCCCAGTCACCTGTAATCACAGAGGTGAGTGAACAGGTAGAAGAGCTGAGGAAATCACTGCAGCAAACAGAAAGTGAGATTAAAGAGTTACTCGCTGCGTATGTACAATCTTTCTTTGTTTTATTGCTCTAGTGGTATTTCTTTCTTTGTTTTATTGGTCTAGTGGTATTTCTTTCTTTGTTTCATTGGACTAGTGTTATTTCTTTCTTTGTTTCATTGCTCTAGTGTTATTTCTTTCTTTGTTTCATTGCTCTAGTGGTATTTCTTTCTTTGTTTCATTGGTCTAGTGGTATTTCTTTCTTTGTTTCATTGGTCTAGTGTTATTTCTTTCTTTGTTTCATTGGTCTTGTGGTATTTCTTTCTTTGTTTCATTGCTCTAGTGGTATCTCTTTCTTTGTTTCATTGGTCTAGTGTTTTTTCTTTCTTTGTTTCATTGGTCTAGTGTTATTTCTTTCTTTGTTTCATTGGTCTAGTGTTATTTCTTTCTTTGTTTCATTGGTCTTGTGTTATTTCTTTCTTTGTTTCATGGGTCTAGTGTTTTTACTTTCTTTGTTTCATTGGTCTAGTGTTATTTCTTTCTTTGTTTCATTGGTCTAGTGTTATTTCTTTCTTTGTTTCATTGGTCTAGTGTTATTTCTTTCTTTGTTTCATGGGTCTAGTGTTTTTACTTTCTTTGTTTCATTGGTCTAGTGTTATTTCTTTCTTTGTTTCATTGGTCTAGTGTTATTTCTTTCTTTGTTTCATGGGTCTAGTGTTTTTTCTTTCTTTGTTTCATTGGTCTAGTGTTATTTCTTTCTTTGTTTCATGGGTCTTGTGTTCTTTCTTTCTTTGTACCATAACTTAGTTAACCCCACATATTACAACCACGTTCAGTAGATGTTGGTATTTGTGTATCTTCAACACAGCTGTTCTGTTTCTTTAACAATGTATAAGGAGCTGATGTCATAGACTAGCTCATTTTAACTTAAATATTGGATTCAAACTTAAAACACCTGTTTTTTTACTTAACTCTGCCTGTTGACCACACCATCTAGTGTTATTTCTTTCTTTGTTTCATGGGTCTTGTGTTCTTTCTTTCTTTGTACCATAACTTAGTTAACCCCACATATTACAACCACGTTCAGTAGATGTTGGTATTTGTGTATCTTCAACACAGCTGTTCTGTTTCTTTAACAATGTATAAGGAGCTGATGTCATAGACTAGCTCATTTTAACTTAAATATTGGATTCAAACTTAAAACACCTGTTTTTTTACTTAACTCTGCCTGTTGACCACACCATCCATAGCTCACCACAGTTCCCTACCACCACAGTTCCCCACCACCACAGTTCCTCACCACCACAGTCCCCCACCACCACCACAGTTGCCCACCACCACCACCACAGTTCCCCACCACCACCACAACAGTTGCCCACCACCACCACCACAGTTCCCCACCACCACCACAACAGTTGCCCACCACCACCACAGTTCCTCACCACCACAGTCCCCCACCACCACCACCACAGTTCCTCACCACCACAGTCCCCCACCACCACCACCACAGTTCCTCACCACCACAGTCCCCCACCACCACCACCACAGTTGCCCACCACCACCACCACAGTTCCTCACCACCACAGTTCCCCACCACCACCACCACAGTTCCCCACCACCACCACAGTCCCCCACCACCACCACCACAGTCCCCCACCACCACCACCACATTTGCCCACCACCACCACCACAGTTCCCCACCACCACCACCACAGTTCCCCACCACCACCACAGTTGCCCACCACCACCACCACAGTTCCCCACCACCACCACAGTCCCCCACCACCACCACCACAGTTCCCCACCACCACCACCACAGTCCCCCACCACCACCACCACAGTTGCCCACCACCACCACCACAGTCCCCCACCACCACCACCACAGTCCCCCACCACCACCACCACAGTTCCCCACCACCACAGTTCCCCACCACCACCACCACAGTTCCCCACCACCACCACCACAGTTCCTCACCACCACAGTTCCCCACCACCACCACCACAGTTCCCCACCACCACCACCACAGTTCCCCACCACCACCACCACAGTTCCTCACCACCACAGTTCCCCACCACCACCACCACAGTTCCCCACCACCACCACAGTTGCCCACCACCACCACCACAGTCCCCCACCACCACCACAGTTGCCCACCACCACCACCACAGTTCCCCACCACCACAGTCCCCCACCACCACCACCACAGTTCCCCACCACCACCACCACAGTTCCCCACCACCACCACCACAGTCCCCCACCACCACCACCACAGTTCCCCACCACCACCACCACAGTTCCCCACCACCACCACCACAGTCCCCCACCACCACCACCACAGTTCCCCACCACCACAGTTCCCCACCACCACCACCACAGTTCCCCACCACCACCACCACAGTTCCCCACCACCACAGTTCCCCACCACCACCACCACAGTTCCCCACCACCACCACCACAGTTCCCCACCACCACCACCACAGTCCCCCACCACCACCACCACAGTTCCCCACCACCACAGTTCCCCACCACCACCACCACAGTTCCCCACCACCACCACAGTTGCCCACCACCACCACAGTCCCCCACCACCACCACAGTTGCCCACCACCACCACCACAGTCCCCCACCACCACCACAGTTGCCCACCACCACCACCACAGTCCCCCACCACCACCACCACAGTTCCTCACCACCACAGTTCCCCACCACCACAGTCCCCCACCACCACCACAGTCCCCCACCACCACCACCACAGTCCCCCACCACCACCACCACAGTTCCCCACCACCACAGTTCCCCACCACCACCACCACAGTTCCCCACCACCACCACCACAGTTCCCCACCACCACCACCACAGTTCCCCACCACCACAACAGTTGCCCACCACCACCACCACAGTTCCCCACCACCACAGTTGCCCACCACCACCACCACCACCACAGTTGCCCATCACCATTACCACAGTCCCCCACTACCACTGATGTTATATGAAATATGATTCCAGTGGCTGTGATGAGAGGGAGCTCCAGACACACATAGACAAACTACATGAGTACAATGAAATCAAAGATGTTGGGCAAATCATCCTGGGTAGATTAGGTAAGCAACTTGTATAGTTTTATAGAAAAAATATAGAAATATTTTGGTAAATTGACTTTCCTTTTTATTTAAATTGGTGAAAGAATTTTAGAAATGGTTTCTTAGTTAATGCTGTTTCACTTATTTTCTAGCAATTTATATTTACCTTTTTAATAAAAAAAATTTAAGATTGTTACATTTAAACATTTAAGTATTGTAAATTTACATTTATTAAAATGTCTGCAGTATTTAATATATAGATAGAAATTCAAATCCCAAATGTCTTGAAGTAATCAAACATGGGGGTGGAGGGGTGACAAATGTAATTCTATTAAAAGCAGTGTCATGGTACACCACGTTAGTCTCTGTGTACTTTGTAAATATTTGATGGTTTTTTTTAAATGTATTTTTTAATAATCTGTTTAGCTTATAAATATTTGATGTTTTTCCAAATGTTTGTTTCTACTGTCTACAGCTAACCTAGAGGGTCTCCAGACAAAAGATATGTATGAGAGATATGGACTGGAATTAAATGATTAAATACAAGAATTTGTTACTACAGTCTGTGTTGCTTTTTTCATACCACACCTTTCACAAAAACCAATTGTATTACGTTTATTAACATATTTATTTATTTACTGTTCACTTCAACATTTTGGTTATCCTTTTATTTTTGGAAATTTTCAATTGTTGCAATTTATCTAGTTATAAATTTCTGTTTACTTTTGTTATTTGAAACACTAAGCGATGGCCTCTGCTGATGGTGCTAATTTTGAATCCCAACCAAAACCTAACTGGCACCTAGTTGGGAAGGTGGATGAGCTGAAACAGAAACCATGTCGCAAAATCTACATGAAAAATGGCCCCAGTCTGGCACTGTTCTACGCTGCACCTGACACTTTCTTCCTGACCAATTCCAGCTGTCCCCACAACAAAGGACCGCTGGAACAGGGGGACATAGAGGACATAGACGGCAGGTACCACATCACTTGTCCCCTGCACTTCTACAGCTTTGACCTGACCTCTGGCATGTCAAGGTCAGGGCTGGTCCTGAAGACCTATCAGACTGAGATCAGGGGAGACGACCTTTATGCCTTAACTGACCATCCAGTATCTTTAACACGCTAGTCACAAATTGTTGTAGGTAGATTATCTCCATGTCTTAGTCCACCAGCTAAATACTACATACAAGTAATAAAGTATTACTGGACACGTGGGTCTTTTCATCTGATGACCATCTGATATTTAACTTGCTGGTATTAAATTATGACAGGGGGTGTTATATTTGATATATTTAACTTGCTATTGCTAACAAGATGAATTGCTTATCCCTTATTTCAACACCCAATATAATTTACATGCTAGTAGTTATAGTAGTAAACTGAGTGTAGTAAACCTTGATCATACTTAATGCCTTACCTGACTTTCCAATATCTTTGAACACTAGTAAGTAGCATAGCAGAATTAAGTAAAGAGGATAGGTATGCTTTTAGCTGAATACCATCATGTGTTACGCAGAAAATGCATTCTAGCAGACCAGTGTTTTATTCTAAATGAATGTAAAAATATTTTTTGGTTATAAATAGTTATTATATATATATTATGAATTACTAGAGGTAAACGACTCTTAGGCATCAGGATGATTATTATAGATGCAATTGTTTCATTAATTTATCTACTGTCAAGTACTTTATCTCAATAAATCTTTGTTTTTGGAATGTGGCAGAAGTTTTTTTTTTTGTTTCATACTTTTTTTTACACTTTAATTAAACTATGGGTCTGTCAGTATTAATTTACACAAACATTATTTAGTTGTATTCCTTCACTTAATAATAGTATATACATTATGTTTTGCTTGCATATTATATTAATTTCACTGAATTATTTTAACTTATGCATTTTTATATTATGCATAGCTATTCAGAAATCAAAATGTGTGTATTTCTTACATTGATCTCTGATCATAACTTTGTTTGTTTTACCCAAGGTCTCTGTACCTTATACTATCACTTACTTAGTCCTTTGAAGCCCCTGAGGAGCTAAGAAGTTCTGCTAGACCCCTACACCTGCCTCTGGACAGCTCTCTTTAGTCCAGCCCATGTATGCTCGCAGACCTTGCTTCTCCTTCCACAATCCTTTTCCAGTATTGTTAATTGTGCCTATGTACTAGACTTTACTTGTTGATAACTAAAATTTTCTTTGATCTACAATTTTACTCAATTTTAGTTATTTCTGGAACTTTGGTTTTTTTGCAATTATTTATACTGATAGCAGGGATTTTGGTTTTTATCACTGTTCAATAACTATTTGTCTTTTTAAAAGCAGGCCTGTGCTTTAGAATTTCCCATTTTTTAAAGGCCCCTTGTTTAGAACTGAATATGGCTATAATGCTATAATATCCTGACTAATCATTACTCCTGTAATAGTTAACGCAACTGAAACTGTTTATTAAAACGCTGTGCTTATCTTTTCATCTTGACGTATCCATACGCTTTGGGGTTGTGCTTCACTAAGAGAAAACTCGTACCATACAGGATGTCCAAAGTTGATATTTTATATCCCCACTCTGATTTAGACATCAACAAAAATATATTTGTTCTTAACTCCACTTAAAAGTTTGATATTTTATATTGCCACTCTGATGTAGACATCAACAAAAATATAATTGTTCTTAACGTTCTTCCACTTTCAGTAATTTAATTCAGCAACATGTAATATTTATGTTGTAGTGAAACTATTTTTTATAAATTTAGTGTATTCACTGCCTGTTAGCAGTAGTTTTATTAACCAAAGCACTTGTGTTATTAATTATAGTTAAACACTTTGTGTGCAGCATGAAGTTTTGCTGGTTAAAACTTAAGTTCTATTTATAAGGGGCACCCTCATGGACCAAACCTTAAATCCTGTGTGTGTGTGGATGACATACAAAATTAATTATCACCCCCCCCCCCCCCATATTTAATTTAGTAACGTTAATTTTATGCTCTAAGGAAAATATATTTGTTGGATATAATTAAAATGGATGTTGCTGTCCTATCCTAGGGGACATTTTTTTGAAACAATTTAGTATTTACAGCAATATAAGTTATTTAGGATTTTCTGGTCTATATTTACAGTTGTTTGTTATGGAATGTGTATGCATGCACTTTACTCAGATTTTTTGTTTCCTTCATAATGATGAAGTTGGCTATAGTGTACAAAAATATTAAACATTATTAACCCTGTATTCATTGGTATGTATTCGTTGTATTCAATTATTTAAGTCACAAGTTTCCCTTTAATTATTATTAAGTGTAAATACTTCAGTGTGCCATACTAGTAAAATTATGAGTGATCAAACTTTTTGTGAACACATGAACTCTACTTTAAGCTATTATTACCCTTCAGGTTGTAAACAACTTCTGAAGTCTTTGAGCTGTGCTCACCCATAATTCTCCTAATACATAATTTTTAAACTTCACCAGTCGCTTGAAATACCTGCAATTGGCTGCAGGTTTTATTTTATTATGGCCTTCCGAACTGATGACATCTATTAGTAAAATATTAATTAGTATATGTTATTATTAAGTTTACAATAAGCTTTAGCTAACTTTTCCAATGGCACATAAATTTGCTATTAAAAATAAAAGCAAGATCTAGCTATCTCCATCTCATGGCACATGTGTCCAGTAATGCTGAAGCTGATTATTTAACTACTTAGTAAATCATGCCTTATTATGCATTCAGGATACAACTTAACTCTAAATACTAAGTAGAATATTATCCTTGAAATGAATGTCCGACCCCACCAAAGTTTGGTTACAGTTGATGGTGCATCCTTAGGTTTAACCAGCCCTGACTGCACTACAGCTTCATTAATAGAAACTGCTTAAAGCTACAAAATACTATTTCATCTGAATGATTTAGGCAAATTTAAATCACAAGATATGAAAACCAAATTAAGTTCCTATCACATTTAGTATCATCATGGCAACCAGTACTTGTAGCAATTGGATGATCAACTCCAGCCCAATACAGAAAATTATGGTTTTAGTTTTATTTTCATTATTTAAACTTTTAGTGTGCAATAAAATTAACCTTCAGTCAAGCAACACAAAATTCTGACATTACAAACCCAGAGGTAAGCAACAATAACATATTTAACAGCAAATACACAAGAAAGTTTAAACACAAATTACGACATTAATCTTTTTTAATTATTAATATTGCCTCATGTCAAAAGAACACATTTAACAAACCCAGAAATATCCAGATACACAACTAAGAAATGCAATCAAAGTGTAAATAAAATCAGTGTGCCCATACCATTGATTAGAATTTGAATTAGTCCCAAAGTAACTGGTGGAGAGACTAAAAACTTTGAAACTATGACAGAAATTTGACTGTTATAATAAGCAAAAACAGAATCAGTAAGAGTTATCTGGTCCACTGTAGAGAAAATGGACATCCCGTATAGAAATAAAATCAATTCAAAATTGTGATTAAATAGATGTACATATATAATTCAAAAGGAAGTTAAAACAACTATAATTTAGACAACAAAATACTATGTTTTGAGCAGCTCTGTGCAGTGCCAGTTAATGAATCTACTACTCGGGTTAACCTTTCTTTTTGTGAAGGCACTGTCTAAAAACAAAAAAGTGCCAAATGAGGACTTCCCATAAGAAATAACATTACTCTGCCTCTAAAACCACAGACACAAAAAAAATGTGCCAATATATACCCGGTATGTAAATAAAAAAAACTAAGGTGTCAACACCTTTACTTTAAACGGGTTTATCATAATGTATATATCACCAACAGATACAAATTTTTAACTGAAAGTGACATTAACAATGTAGCTAATGAACAATTAAATTAAAATGTCATCAACACAGCAAGGTAAAAATAATAAAATATGAAGAGAAAAGACTAATCTGTGCCCATGGATATTCCCATACAAATTTCCAACAGGGATCTCCAGACCAAGCATGTCCTGAAGCCTCTTACTAGAAAAGAATCAGGAGATCCAAGTGTCTTGAGTTACAGTTAGGTGTAAATTGTTTTTCCACTCCATGCCTCAAATTTTAACCATCAGCGCAGATTAGCCAATAGAGAATTCTAATGAATGCAGTGAAGATATGAAATGTGTACAAAAATTGTATACACAGACAACTAAAACTACACATATGCTTAAACATTTTTTCTACTTGCACTTAACTGATAAATTACATTTTCAGGTATCAGTTACAAAATTGAATAGGCAAGATGAAATATTTTAATTAATTACTACGAGCCGGCCCGCGGCATAACATACGCCGCTATTTAGTTGTTTCTAATTTTCAATAATTCATAATTTGTGAATTCGACAGTACCAACGCTGACACTGAAAATATTTCTTTAAAACACTATAAGTAGCTCGTTAAGGACCATAACCCCCCCCCCTTCCTTCCCTCCCCCCCTCCTCCTCCCCCCCCCCCCTACGTTTAAAATCGTTGGCTCTACTTGTAAACATTTAGAGTGAACACAGCTCACTAAAACCATGTAGGGGTGGGGAGGTAGGGAGAGCGTTTGCAGCTTGTTTTCTAACGGCTCGAAGAAGAGAATTATATATATAGATACACTTTGCAAGATGACCACCGAAAAAAAATTTAAATTCAAATATTTTTGCTCTCAATGAAAACCATGTATAGTAAAAATTTTATGTGTACCATATCACAAAAAATAACAAGCCCTGGCCTCCACAAAAGTTTCTTGATTCTAAGTTTTCCAGGTTTGCTTTATGCATTAACAATAATATCAAACATAAAAAGTGGGAGAAAAAATACAGGCTAAACTGGGAATTGGCTTATTTCTTGGGGGTGGCAGCTTTCTTTGTCTTTGCCTTGGATTTGGCCTTCTTGACTCCTCCTGAAGTGGAGCAATACAGAAAAGAAAACATTAGCACAAACAACCAAAAGAAATAAAAGCAGTTTAATCAATATAGACCTTGTCTACAAAGTCCATTAACAAATTGATATTAAAGTATTTTTCAATACTTTAAAATTGCACATATAAACCAACACTTTGTATTGCTCAGGATAAAAGGGACTGGTTTATATATTCATTTATATTTATATAGTTTTAAATAACTTTGGGCCTACCTGCTTTCTTCCCTTTCTTCTCAGCGGGCTTCTTTGGCGTCTTCTTTGTAGCTATGGGATTTTAAAAAAAAAAAGCTACAAGTATGTCTAGATAAATATAAAATGAAACAAAAAGCTATGAATTACAAAGTAAAAATAAAGATGAAGATATAAAACAGATAATTAGAACAAGATATACATTATTTTATCAAGCAACTTAACTAGTCTTCATCAGACTGCACTTAATCTCTTCAAACCCATGCCCTCCAAATTTAAAAAAAATAAATATTAAATAGTTAAAGCTGATTAAATAATTTCCAGAAATGCTATACTGTACTATTTTTATACTATACTAATAAATATCTGGAAACTTGTCATTTATTAAACAAGGTGTTGGCAATATCACAAATTCAAAAGAAGAGCCCCATATGCCCAATAGATACATCTATCAAATGATTACCTTTAGCTACAGCTCCAGAATCGCCAGCTGCTTTCTTGCCACGACCTTTAGCGGCTGCCATTATGAGCTTAGGCTGTTACTCAAAAGTATGATGACAAAAAAGTCTGCAAAAATAAGAAGAAATGTCAAGAACAAGGGTAAACCACAAAAACAACCTTAATTTTATTACAATGGGATTAAAATAGACCAGTTAGACAAACAACCTTATTACAATATTTAGTTAAATACAAGTTGCATACTAGACTAGGTAGGCCTATTTATTAGTGTCACTCCAAATAGTCATGGGGTTTAATTAAATTAGGAATCATAACTTGGCCTGTTGGTAAGTAGTAAGTAGGCCTAAATTGTGAATGTAGGGCCTAGGTGAAAATTCAAAATAAGATAAAACATGACTTATGATACTAGATCTATCTGTAGGCTATATTTAACTATAGTATGTAGTATGTAAACCTATACTTAGTCTATAATAATATAAACTAAATCTATATCTAGATCTAATTTCTAAATAGCAGCAATACTAAATCTAAAAATTGACTTAATTTTAGATCCCAACCTATGCTTAGACATCTAGAATCTAGATCTAGATCTGCAGTGTAATTAATTAGGCGGGAAAGTGACTTCCAATAGTTCTAGGCTACCTCTGAGCTGAGCTAGACCAGAGGGCGAGTGCTAAATCTAGATTTATTCTCCTGAACGATGCTTAGTTGATGATAATAAATTAATGTTGCTTAGCATTTACAACATAGATCAAGATCTGAATGTGTTAAAAATAAAAACACCGCTCCTTGCCCGTGTAAAAACTTTGTTTACTAACAAAATAAGGGGCAGATTGAGGTCAGTAGTCGAGGTTTATTTGACAAAACTGCTAGGGGCATACCGCATGGTACCAATAAGAAACGCGGAAGTGTAAATTAACCATTTAATGTACAAGTAAATTTTCATTGTAAAAAAATAAAATATAAAACCCCATTAATAATAAAAAGAAATAAACGTTATGAAACATTTTTTTACGCGAAAACGAAGTGTTGTTTGAGAGGTTAGGTCGTCTGCCGCACAGAAGATGGCCGACGAAGCTTCACTATGTTCAAGTAAGAACGCGTAAGTTTTTAGTTCGACCAGCAGCCAGACTGAACTGAAAATATGCTATAAATATGCGCGCAGCACGTGCTATGTCGACTCGGAAAAAAAATGTAAAAAATTTTATATACTTGTAATATCACGTTGGGGCATTGAAAGTATGTTTATCATGAAAAATTATGTAATTGCATAAAATTTAACATACCTTCTTCTTTGTTTCTGTCTAGATCGCTATGGCAGGGAGAAGACGCTATGAGTTGTAGCTGGAAGTGTTGAAAGTGGGTCATAATGTCCAAACCAACCAATGAGCGCCGTGTACACTAACAAAACAGATTATCGACGAATCGGAGTGTTACTTGCATTTCGCTACCTAGAGAGCCCGCGCCTTGAAACGCATTTTCATTGGTTAGATTGTGGGTCTCTAAATTTAGATGAAATGCAGGTCATGCAAGGGAAAAAACCGCAATCACTAGGCACAAAATACTGCTGATCGTATGGAGGACTAGGCTGGCATGTTATGCTCTCCTCGGTTGCCCTGTTGCATCTCACCAAAACAGAGCTATGATGCAACAATGCATTAGGGCCTATCATTCTTATTTTTTTCCCATTGGAAACTGCATAATACAACTTACAGCCCATTGATCACAAAGACCACTTTTTGTTTCTATTTTGAATGAAGTGCCATTATTTTCTCTTCCAAAATACGAACTTGGTTTTAGTTAACTCTTTAGTTTTAAGGACGACCACTCAAATCTAAACGTAATTAAATGTGATAGATCTATTCCCTTCTGGCACGCCAATTCCGTTTTGACGTCTGGTGTCAGGCAACATATTGAAATATCTTAATTTTAGTCCATTTATTTTGACACCCTACCCCCTTGACTCACTTTTTTTCGCAAATAAAAAAAATAACCAGACCACTCTATTATTGACGCAAACTTCGCCGACACCCTCCTAAAATAACAGATTTTTTTTTTTAAATCTAACATCTCGTGACACCATTGAGGCCTACCCTCCTCTACATGTACGTATAACCATAACTGTACGTATAATCATAACAGTTATGATTAATGCACTGGTAAATAAGAAATTACCACAATACATCCCAAAAACATGCTGTCTTTGTGTTTACATTGCTTATAAATATATAGTTATCGCAATCTTAGACAATATCATTGATGATATCTCTTTCTACTACAAACATCTATAACCTATATACTATGTTTCCTCTTACATGTTTTTTTAATAGAGTTGCCGACTAGGGAAAAACTATTGTACTGTTTTGTAGTTGTTATTAGGTTCAAAGTGTAAGTGTTTATAATTTATTACAGCACTGAGGATACCCGTAAGTCTCATTTTCTCCCTCACCAACGAGACACGTTCTAACACGTCACCATTTGCAGTCATCGCTTACTTCCGTTAAAACAATACAGTGTGTACTTCAGCCAATCAATTGAGTCGATTGCCTGACTATGGAAAACACTAGGTAGCCTAATCTAGATTTCAGCGTCTCTTTTCCCTAGAGATATGTTTGTCATGGATCCCGCTTTCGCGTGTATACGACTAGCAGCACTAGATTTTTGCCAAGACAAACGTACTGCATTTAAGGAACTCTACATTAAGTTAAAACGTTAAGGTACCGTATCTAGTGAGTTGTAGTGAGCTTGAAGCTTAAGCCTACGCGGCCGTCCACAAATGACAAGTCTATACAAATGCCTCTGCATTATAGGTGGAGGGGGGGGGGGGGGGGGCGAATGTTGACGTCACACTTTTGCATTGTAAATAATGTAAATATGCAAGTAATTTTTAAAACTAAAAAAAAAAACAATTCACACATTTTCACCAAAACTCCCGTGTAGAAAAAGAAAGAGATGATGTCTTTAAAAAAAAAAAATTGATATCGGGTTGGTTAAGGGATGCGGGTTAGCTGAAGTATCAGTTTTCAGAAGGGGGGTGGGGGGTCTGACTTTCATTAGAATGGGAATTGCACAACATCGACCAAAAATTATGCCATTTAAGTAACCCCCTCCCCACGAAAGCCAAAAGCTTTTAAAATATGAATTTATGATAAGTGTATGGTAGGCCTATAATATATATACATGTATATATATATATATATATATATATATATATATATATATATATATATATATATATATATATATACATGTATATATATGTATATATATATATATGTATATATATATATATATATATATATATATATATATATATATATATATATATATATATATATATATATATCCTATGTGTGTATTACGTTCAAAGCCCGAATTGGCACCCTCGCGAGCAGGTTGCAGAGGTTTGACCATTGACATGATTTAGGTAGCGCAGCTGATCAACGCTATTCTCAACAACACTGTTGTTGAGCAGGTCATCAAAGGTGTTAGTATAGAAAGAGACTGATTCTTTCACACTCTAATTATAGTATCAGTATATCAGCCGATCCAACACTATTCTGGTATCAGCAATACGCCTGTTATTATATTTGGGTAGGCCAAGCAGAGCAATATAGTAACCAGAAGTCTCATCCATCACGATATTACATTTTTTTTACAATACTACTACGTGCCTTTCCCTCCTCTACTTGTTAAACTCTGGGTTAGAGAGTTCAAAAGTTTGGCCGTGAACCGGAACGGGTTCAGTGCACGCGCCGCGAGTGTCCAAAAACCACTCAACAGTGACTAGCAATGCTTAGAGCGTTGGTAACAAAATCATTTGAACCAAGTCTTTCTGTGTAGTTCTCGCACCAAATGTGTAGATACTAGCTATTTTCCCGATCCTCTGGTTTCGTATTCTATTGTTGTCGACGTCGTCTCCTTCATCTATTCTTTTATTGATTCCCATGGCCAAAGAGCTGAGGAAAATACGTCAATTAATTATTAAGCGGCTTCTAGAAGTGATGCCACGCAGTTTAGCGCGAATTTTGTTGCCTCCCCCCCCCCCCACCCCGTTGTGTCAGTGTCAGACGATATGCGGGATTGATTGGAGCGCGGGGGAGGGGGGTGGTGGGGCGACACTATCCCCACCCCCAATAATTTTAGACTAAAATCATTTAGAAAGTTTCAAGACCCCGCATGCTACATAGGTGCAACTAAATAACCAAGAAATACAACCAGTTGTACAAAGGACTGATGGCACATAAAGATGCTACAGAAGGTCTGCACGGTCATGCCTTTGATTTGTCCTGCACACATTTAGAGAAGGATTCCTTTTAGTTATTTTTTTCCGGAGGGTGGGGGGTAATTAAAAATTTCCTGGGCAAGAGGGGGGTGGCGGGGGGGGGGGGGGGGGGGGGGGGGAGCGACGGCATATTAACTGGTCAAAGTATATATTATTTTCTTTTTAAATTATATTTTTTAAACATTTCGTCCAGGATGGGGGGGGGGGGGGTGGGAGGTCTTGCTCGGTTGGGAAAGGGAGGGGGGTACCAGATGCAACTTTTCTGACTAATGAAACCATTAGCAGCGGTATTATAAAACTTATGTGTAAACACATTGTATAGTAGAAAAATTGGTTTCTGTTCTACGTGGTAAAGATTTTCCCTTGCAACATTTCTTGCAACGTTTCCCAAAAATCGAACTTAAAATTTTCAAGTGTTTCACCATTCGAACACACCGTCCGATATGTGTGCCTCCTCCTGCACACATCGTCACAAAAAAGCCAGACCATCCCCTACAATGACGTCACACCTCAGTCTACAACCCCCTAAAAATTGCAGTTGAATTTTGTTTAAAACATCGATATTTTTTCTAAATTTGTATCTGAACTCTGTCAACATAGAGTATTTAATCAATTTCAATTTATTAAAACAGTTTTCTAAAACGCGAAATAACGGCTATAATTCGTTTTCTAACATTGCTTTTTATAATGCAAAAGTGTGACGTCACGCCATCTGATTCCCCCCCTCCCCCTCATCACACACCGTCACAAAATTACGACCCGACCCCCCCCCCCCTCCCCTACGAGTGTGACGTTTGGAAAATGAATGTATATATATATATATATATATATATATATATATATATATATATATATATATATATAATTTTTTTCGTAACTTGTCTTAGTCAACCCAGAGGCGTAGCGACCCTTCCCGGCGCCCGGGGACATACTTTCAATTTGGCGCCCCCTCGGGAGCAAAATTTTCGATTTGCACCCCCCCCCTCAAACTTTCAATTTGGTGCCCCCCCCCCCCTAAGGTCGGCGCCCGGGGACATATGTCCCCCCCCCCCCCCCTCGCTACGCTACTGAGTCAACCTGATTTTTTGCGTGTAGCGTGTTGAATTCCTTAAATATATTTTACTGCCTCAACAGGGTAGCCTGTCTTTAAGATTTGGGCGGGTAAAACATTTTACTCGTAACTTTTTTTTTTAAAGCTGATAGTTCAGTTTGTTTTTATCGTAACATACTTGAAGTCTTTCTTTTAAATTAACAAAAGACTACTCCGCTCTCTACAACCCTACCCGTTTCACATTGATCTGCTGATCTCCCCCACCCCCACCCACCCAACCTACATAAACACGTGACCTAATTTATAAAAACCGCCTAAACTTTTATAACTGCGTATTTTGTACACAAATCTGGAAATACCCGTTTGTTACTGAGCCCCGTTTCTATTTTTAACCTACTGCTGAATTTTAAAGCTCACAAAGCAACCGTTCGTCGTTAGAATGCGGTATTTCTTTTATTTACAAATATGTGTATCCCACATGTCCAGCATCTAGTTTTTTTTTTTAATCATGTATGTTTTGGCCTCCTCAAAGACATTTAATTATTTTCTATCTAATTTTTTTTAATCGAGTTCGTGGGCTTCCACCCTGGTTACAATAGTTAAATTGTTGTTTCGACACTGAGTATAAATACTATAAACCCGGTAAATTGCAGTGGGCATCTTTCCGTTAAATCAGGGGTCTCCAAACTACGGCCCGCGGGCCAGATGCGGCCCGCGATGTCCTCTCATCCGGCCCGCTGAGATTTTTCCGTCCACGGAAAAAAACGTTTGTTGGTGATGGCCGAGGAACAGAGGCTTAGCGACCCTTCCCGGCGCCCGGGGACATACTTTCAATTTGGCGCCCCCCTCGGGAGCAAATTTTCGATTTGCACCCCCCCTCGAACTTTCCATTTGCACCCCCCTCAAACTTTCGATTTGCACCCCCCCCCCCTCGAACTTTTCATTTGCAACCCCCCTCAAACTTTCAATTTGGCGCCCCCCCCCCTAAGGTCGGCGCACGGGGACATATGTCCCCCCCGCCACGCCCCGCCACGCCCCGCCCCCGCCCCCCCCCCCCCCCCTCGCTACGCCTCTGCCGAGGAACGTTGCCCAGAAAAATTAAAGACATTCCTGGAAGAAACTGGCCCCCGAACTGAAATTTGATAGTTAATGCGGCCCTCGGACTGAAAAGTTTGGAGACCCCTGCGTTAAATAATTAAAATCTCAAAAAAGTCAGGTTGTCACCCTATAATCCTCTTTAATGTGCAAGTGGATATTTGTTTTAGTGTCATCGGCTCTGTGCTGGAGCTAAGTTTCGAGCAGAGGCGTAGCTAGTGTAGAGCGGGTAGGGCGGCCGCCCCGGGCGCAGACCCTATAGGGACACCAAACGGGGTAGGAAAAATAAATAAAAAGCGTATTCTGAGCTACCTTAGTAAATTATACACTGTCCAAGTTATGAAAATAGACTGCTACTTACTTATTTAACACCAGTTTAAAAAAAAAACTTTTAAAGGACAGTCCCGATATTTCATAAAGTGTGTGTGTGTGGGGGGGGGGGGCTTTCTCGCCAAAGGGGTCGTCCATAAATGACGTCACACTCGTAGGGGGGAGGGGGGCGTAATTTTGTGACGGTGTGTGATGAGGGGGAGGGGGTTCAGATGGTGTGACGTCACTTTTTTGCATTATAAAAAAGCAATGTTAGAAAACGGTTTTAATAAATTGGAATTGATCAAAATACTCTATGTCAGGGGTTCCCAACCCCGTGCCCGCGGGCGCCATGGCGCCCGCCGAACGATTCGTATGTGCCCGCCTCTCACTATTCGACAGAGACAGAATTTTTTTCATAAACATTATTGAAAGGTTGAAGGGGATGGAGATCGAAAGTTTGAGGGGGGGTGCAAATCGACAGTTTTGTCCCCGGGTGAAGGGAAGGGTCGCTACGCCTCTGGAAGGAGTTTGTTGATTCAAAATACGTGGTGCCCGCCACCCTACCGATATTTTAGAATGTGCTCTAGAGTAAAAAAAAGGTTGGGAACCCCTGCTCTATGTTGACATAGTTCTGGCAAGATTTTGTAACAGCAATTTTGAGGGGGGTTGTAGGCTGAGGTGTGACGTCTTTTTAGGGGGGGGTCTGGCTTTTTGTGACGACGTGTGACGGAGGGGGGGGAGGTAAAAATAGTTTTAAAAGCGTGACGTCATTTATGGATGACCCCCAAAGGCCAAAGGCGGATAACTATATATACATTTTCGGAGGGGGATATATGCGTGTGTGCAAAATTGATTGTTCGCCCCGGACGCCGGAATGAGTCCCTCCTACACCTCTGATTTCCGCTTACGATTAAGTTAGATTATAGATTTGATAGAAAGCAGGCAATTGTTGTCTCTTTACCTGTTAGGGGTCATCCATAAATGACGTCACGATTTTTTTGACGATCTTTACCTCCCCTCCCCCCTCCCCTTGTATCCTTGTATGAAGAGCGTCCACAAATTATGACATTGTTTTGAGTTTTGGATTTCTATTTTTAAAATCAAAACGAGAAAACATTGCACATATTGGACTATCAATATAATACAATCTAGATCTTTATCAAAATTAAACACTTTAATTTTAATGTTATACTGTCAAAGTATAATGTATTGAAAACGCGTTATATTTATTTTATTTTTTTAAACTTTGTTTTATATGCATTTTAGTATATGGGAGAACACAAATATGATTGAATTAACACATCAAATGTTATTCATGATATAGAATATAGATCGATAATTAGTATATTAAGATATAACGTACTTGTATAAAAAATGTGATATTAAAATAAAATAGGCTTTAAAAAGATCATTCTCAAAATGTGAATCAGCCGTAGTCAATGAAACTTGCCAAGCGCATGCGTAAATATTCTATCCAAAATGGCTGACGAAGTATACCGAATGGAAGGTGAGATAGGTGAAAATACAGATTTCAAGCCCGAAGAATGGAAAGCATTATCATTAACCTACGTTGAATATCCTAAAGGTATCAAAATTGCAATCGGTTTTATGTTTTGTTTTTAAAATATTCAGATACATTTTTTCCTCTTAATACTGTATTATTTAACGTGTAGATTAGACTAGGATTATCATTACTTGAGTGTAGGTACTAGGATAAATTTTCAAAATTGGGTTTTTGGGGAAACAACTACTACAGTTAAAAGGAGCAGAAAATTACAATAACAGAACCGTTTTCATTTTTGATGTAGCTCAAACGGTTAAAAAGTTATGATTTTTTTTCGTATTAAAAAAAGCGTTTTTTTTAACATAGGATTTTTTTCAATTTCTGTGTTAGAATTTTTTTAAGCATTTACTAAAATTGTCATAGCCTGTAAACCGTGTGATCAAATTTGTTATAACTTTGTAGTAACTTAAGTTATCATATATGTTAACATAATAAAAAATAAAAAGAGAACTTCATAGGTAGAATTCTAAAAAAAACTGGAGGTGAGGAGGGGACCCCCTTGTTTTTGCATTCACAGTGCTTTCATACAATCACAGTTTAAAGTTAAACTATTTGAAATATCAAGCTGAAAATTGCTCAGAATGTGTGGCTATGGATGAGATCATTAATACCATCAAAATATTGATCATAATTTGAAAGTTTTTTGTTCAAAGAGCAAATGAGCTGATAAATTATGCATTTGTACAAAAACCGAAATCTGGTTAGTGTAAAATGGAAAATGATGCCAAATTTTAACTTTTAAGTATTTATGTCTCAAAATTGGCCTGATTGTAGTTAACCCTAAACCTAAATAGATACAATCAAATTGTATGTTTTAGTTATATATGTCTGCCTAAAATAGGGGGTGGAAGAATGTACCCCTCTATATTTTTAACACCGAAACTTTTCACACAACTCAAAATTAACTCAAACTATTTAAAATATCAAGCTGAAAACTGATCAGAATGAAGTTCTGTAAGTGTGTCTGTTAATATTATATAAATATTGATATTGGTAAGTTTTATTAATGGTTATATGTGAATTCTAATTTTTTTTAATATATGAAACCATATTTTAAACTATTGTAATTTGTTTTAGAAAATTTAGGATGAACAAGTTATTTATTTCCATCAAAGAAATTTAATTTTCATCACTGTTTAATATTACATTGTTCTTCCTTTGCCTGTGCTGTAGAATTGCAGTTTCTATCTGGAATAATGAACATTACTTTAGTAACATGTCATTAAAATAAATGAAACATAACTAATTAGTAAACTGACCAACCACTGTAGACATACGGTCATTAAGATTGACTTATTAAAATTCCCGACAAACCCCTTGACATCATTAATGACTTATTGTGCGTGACAATAATTCCCGTCATTAATGCTCACGTCAATATGTGCTTGACAATAACTCCCGTCATTAATGCTCACGGCAATCTGTGCGTGACAATAACTCCCGCCATTAACGCTCACGGCAATCTGTGCGTGACAATAACTCCCGCCATTGATGCTCACGGCAATCTGTGCGTGACAATGACTCCCGCCATTAATGCTCACGGCAATATGTGCGTGACAATGACTCCCGTCATTAATGCTCACGGCAATCTGTGCGTGACAATGACTCCCGTCATTAATGCTCACGGCTATACAGTTCCAGAATCTAGCTCTCGTCAAAATGGCTCAAAATAAACGCCGTAGATAAAAAAAAAGAAAACTAATTTTGTTAGTATTTAAGATCTAAAAAGTCCACAACATTAAAGAAGAATTCAAATAAACAGGACTACTGCGTTTACAATCAGAACAGAGCGTTGAAAACTTGGAATACTGTTTTAAATCCTTCATTATAAACTACGGTAAACGATCTTCCATAAGTGACGTCATTAACCCTCCCCCTATCCTCATTGGTACACTACGTCACCTTTCTTAACCCCAACCCTCGATGCTCACGTAGAACAATGTCAACCTCGGGTCAACGCGTCGTTCAGTGACGTCAGAGGACTGAGGACAGATTCCCGGTGAACGCAGTTAATTGGGGGGGGGGGGCATAACCAACAATAATAATGTCAGTTTCGCGTGTTGGTTTAGTAATTAGTAGTGGGCCATCCATACAATAGATCTACATGACGTCACGGAACTGGAGTCCACCGTACTTACTCAACCCCCCCCCCCCCTCACAAAACACCCATCTCCTATGTGCAACACATTATCCAAAACGTTATGCCCTCTCGGTCTCAACCTTAAACCGACCGCTAAATGTATGCGTACATGACAGCATTTCAAATAATAAAGTATATAGGCCTAAATAAAGAGTCAATGGGGAATGTGCTATTATTTTCTAGAACTGTCAATTCAAACGATATAGTGATATTAATTAAACAAAGTCTATACTAAATAATAAAAAAATAACTGAATACAGTGTAAATTGAAAGTCATATTTAATAAGTCGGTAGTGTTGTTAGCGTGATCGGGCTAGGCCTCTCACGGTACTTCCGGCTTTCCTTTCGTTTTGAGCCGTAACCATCAGAAATGGCGAAGTACATACCTTCTTGGGGAGTGAACCATTAACAATGGGAGCAACTTAGAACTCTAAATTAATAAAGATAATACGTAGAAATGGTCCCTATGTTTGAGTCTCTACATAAAGTGGACGTGTCTTCAATAGTTATTTTGTAATGAATAAAATAAACTTACCTTATTTTCAAAGAATAACTCCTCTTTTTTGGGTCCAGTAGAAAAAACAAAAAAAAAAACAAACAAGCTTGATATCCATTTATCTCCTTAAAACAATCATCACAAGAAAAATGATCACACGGAAGCGGCGAATTAAGCAAATTTTCGAACATCGTCACTCGCGCGATCGCCGAAAACGCAACAGCCTGGTAACGGGAGAAAAATCACGCCTCGGACGCCGCGGCGCGAGCGTAATCCTAGTACCTACTTGAGTGAGTTAACTTCAATAACTTGAGAGTAGTAAGAGTTGAAGCCACTGATCACATTTTTTGATTTGCTTGTGCTACATTCACACTGGATGAATGAGACTTTAAACTTTAAAAAATGAACTTTTCTTCATTCACTTCGAAAAGTTTAAACTTATAATACGTAGGATTTTAGATCTAGACTAGATCAAACATAAAGGTAATCTATCGTTTTAGGTACGTAAAATCGCCCGCGAGTAGTAATGTGAAAAACAGGTGACTCTTTACATTTTAATAATTATTTCACATTTTGAGGAGGATTTATGTTTTGAAAAATACAAAAATGTTTCCTTGTTTCATTTATGTACCTGTTTTTAAACAATTGAATTAAAACTTTTGAGTAATAAATATTAAATTAAATGAACACCAGCGATGTTTCCAACAGATGCAACCATGCTCATTTACTATAGCAGCCATCTTGTTAAAGTTTTATTTTTATAGACTTATAGCGCGAGATTCAGGCGGAAGTCACTCTATTTTACAAATGGCTGCTGTTTATATAGCAAATCTTGCTTGCAGAAACTGCTGTTTAAAGTTAATTTCTGGCCTATATTGATATGTTTAGCTATTGATTTAGGTGTATTATTCATTTATCTATAATATTTGACACAAACACATTACAATATACTTCTATTACAGCCTTGACAATGAGGTAACGTTTTCGTACATTAATAGCCGCGGGCGATTTTACGTACCCAAAACGATAGATTACCAACATAAAGTATTGCACAGCAGTAGTCAAAATTATTGGTAATCTATCGTTTTGGGTACGTAAAATCGCCCGCGATTTGTAATGTGAAAAACAGGTGACTCCTTAAATTTTAATAATTATTTCACATTTTGAGGAGGATTTATGTTTTAAAAAATTCAAAAATGTTTCCTTGATTCATTTATGTACCTGTTTTTAAACAATTGAATTAAAACTTTTCCGTAATAAATGAAGACTAGCGATGTTTCCAACAGATGCAACCATGCTCATTTACTATAGCAGCCATCTTGTCTAAATTTTATTTTTATAAGCTTTTAGCGCCAGATTCAGGGGGAAGCCACTCTATTTTACAAATGGCTGCTGTTTATATAGCAAATCTTGCTCTCAGACACTGCTGTTTAAAGTTAATTTCTGGCCAATATCGATATATTTTGCCATTGATTTAGGTTTATTACTCATTTACATATAATATATGACACAAAAGTATGACAATACACTTCTATTAAAGCCTTGACAATGAGGTAACGTTTTCGTACATAAATAGCCGCGGGCGATTTTACGTACCCAAAACGATAGATTACCAAATTATTTGTTTATTTTAAAAAAAAGTAGCCCTCAAGTCGCCCTAACTAAGCCATTTTTCAACAGCAAACTATTGACAATATTGATATTCTCGATAAATCTAAAAATTTAGGCCCCTAGGCCTATACAATTTAAAATTTAAACATGACCACTGAATAATAGACATCCATATTTAGTAGCTTTTCTTACTAAATCTAGAATTTACCCAAATTTCGAATTAAACATGACTACTGAATGATAGACATCCATATTTAATCCATTAGGGACTAATTTTGAAATTTTTAGTTCGTTTTAAACTAAATTACTTAATTTAATATTTATTGACACTCACTGCCATGGACAACACATCTCTCCATGACAACTCTTCTTACCCCTGAAGGCACTTGAAGCTAAAGAGAACCACAAATGCGGTTAGACTTTTTAAGTGGCCATGTACCCAGAGTTCCCCACTAGTGATCATCAAATAGCGGTCACGTGGTCAAAAAAATAAAAAAAATTTGGTTGTCATTTTTTGGCCACTCTTATAAAAAAAAGGGTTGACTATATTTGATTTATTTTTTCATAGACTGATAAAACTAATAATGCTTTAGTAGGGAAATCAATTTTGTAATAGGGAAATCTATATTTAAAAAGTTCTAGTATTTTTGATGAAACCAACTTTTAAATTTAGCCTTCATTCTCCAACGCAAATTTTAAAATGCTTTTCTGGCATATATAGCCCTGCCACCTATAGCTTGTTGTTATAACGTGAAAGTCCCGCCATTTTGCGCGTGGTAAACATTTTAAAAACTAATTAGCAGAAGGTCTCTGGAATTTGGCCGAAAAATCGTCGGAAGTCAAGCGTCCGGTCCGGGCGCCATATTGTTGTTAGCAACCGGCCACGCCTCCGGGTTAGCGAGAAATACTAATATTTAGCCTAATCCATTAGTTAGGCACTAATTTGGAGGTTTTTATTTCATTTTTAACTAAATTTTACCTAGACCTAGTCCTACTTGTAACTTAATTTAAATATTTGTCACTCACTGCCATGGCACGACATTACAACTATGTTATGTCACTCTTACATTTGAAGCCACAGCAAACCTTACTAGTGATCAAACAAATAAAGGTCACATGCTTTTTAAAAAATAAAAATAAATTGGTTGTGATGTGTGCGCAGGTCTTAAAAAAACAGCTCACACTAGGCCTAGGTTATTTAATTTCTTTTTTTCGTAGACGGATAAACCCAATAATGCTTCATCTATTCGCTCATTTTTGTATCTACACCGTTGATATTTTTAAAGTTCTATTATTTTTAATGACACCAACTTTTAAATTTAGCCTTCATTCTCCAAACCAAATTTTAAAACGCTTTTCTCGCATATATAGTCCTGCACCTTCTTTTCATCTTCTGCGTTCTTAATTTTAAGTGTTGGAAGGGATCCCCTCCAGCACAATTTAGTAAACGTGTCAACTGGTTTTGCCCCATTAAGGCCATTGACTCCGAATTCAATTTCAGCCTGCTTTTCTTGTTGGATTTGTTTCCATGGCCTTTGTCCAACCAAGAACAAACTACAAGGCAGCAGTTGTTTGATTTTTGTTGTTGTCTCTCCTAAATGAAGAGTGGCTGTTCCCAACTAACGAGCCTCATCTGCTAGAGGGTTCGAACTCGAGACTCTTCGATTTAGCAACCCCACCTTCCTGCCACCTATACTTTGTTATTATAAATTGAAAATCCACCATTTTTCTTGTGGTAAACATTTTTAGCACATGTGCGTTTTCAACTTTATATTTTTATGTTTTGTTACAATATTTGTACATAATGAGCATGCTATGCATTTGAAATTAATTAAGGATAATAATTAAATGACATTATTGAATGGTGATAATTTACATGTGACACATCTCATTAATATGGAAAATTATTACCAGATAATTGTAATGTGTGTAAAATCTAGGCCTTAAAGCATATAATTTACATAGGCTGGTTTGAAATAAAGCAGTATTTAAAAGTTATTTGATTTGAAAGACAGAAATCACACAGAGAGATACTTTCACTAAAAAGCCACTTGCGAGACAAAGAAATGAGGTCAATTCTCAATTAAAAGTCTTCAATAGAAACCTGTAGTTCCGAATACTAAAATTGATGATAGCTTCGTAATCATTAGTTTTATCCCTCTACTATTTAATGAAAACAAAACTGGCCATCATTTTAGCAATGCTGCAAGGGCCGTGAGATGGATACTAACCAACAAACCCGGAGGTTGTGAATTGAACGACCTACACATTAGCCTAAAAATAGGTCATAGTTAGGTGTGCATTGAATGGGGGGGTTTAGTGTGAAAGTAAACTACAGATACCAAATGTCAGAAGTCATTGTTGTTTCTTATTGTGCGGAAAAAACTAAGCTTTTCCAAGCGTTTTTTGTTTTTGCTTGGAAAAAAATAAAAAAAGGCACAAAAGAAAGAAATATTAATCAGAAAAACATTACAAGAAGGATTTCAAAATACGAGCCGACCGGCGGCATATCATACGCCGCTATTTAGTTGTTTTATTTTCTACTTTTCAGTAATTCATAATTTGTGAATTTGACAGTACCAATGCTGCCACTGAAAATATTTGCTTTAAACACTATCAGTAGGTCGTTAAGAACGATACTACCCCCACCCTCCTTTCCCCCAACCCCTACCCTACATATCCCCCCCCCCCGTGAAAGCAGCCTCCTCTTAGTTACCTCCCCTAAGTTTAAAATCGTTTCAAACTAAATTATCTGCCCCTAATAGCCGTCACTAAACCCGGCTCTACGAATGTAAACATTTAGCGTGAACCACAGCTCACCCGACCATGTAGGGATGGGGTGGTAGGAAGCGCTTACAGCTTGTTTTCTAGCGTCTCCCAGAAGAGAATTATATGTATATATTGGACATAATGATTTATCTTTAAACTTTTCTTTTCTCCCCACAGATGATTTTATTGGCTTTGTCTTGGCCTGGTTTAGTATGCTGCCATTTATATTGATTGTGAGCTTCATCACCTTGATAGTTTTGAGGAGAGACTTACACACAGTAAGTTTTTAATTACGTAACCATCTTATTCTAATATTCTGTGCTCTTAAATATTTTGTGTGTTTGGGGAATATATTGAGACTGTCAAGGGCAAGAGATCCTTAATTATGAAAAAATATCATTGCATTAGTTTATGCAAGACACTATTGCTAATTGAAATTATAGTCACTTATATTTTTGAAATTTACCTAATAGACATTGTAAAAGTAAAATGGTTTTAACTACTAACATATCTCATATGCATTTAAATATCCTCAATTTTCAAAATATTTTCAGGCAGCTTTTTTTGCTGGGTTGGTAATAAGTGAAGGTATTAATTTTATAGTGAAGCACATTATCCGTGAGCCCAGACCTTTACGAGGTAGGCTTTTAACATTTTATTGTGTAAAAATGTCTTTAATTTCTAGTTGATCAAATGTTATTTTGATGGGGTAATATATTAAACTGCTGTACTTTTTATTTTGTATTATCTCTTTTAGGTCGGGCAAATCTACACACAGAGTATGGTATGCCTTCCAGCCATTCCCAGTTTATTTGGTTTTTCTCATCATACTTTACCATATTTCTCATATTCAGGTATTTTAATTATAGTAGACTGGTATATAACATTTGTAACATCTTTAGCCATAAAAACTGGATAATTTTTGTGCAAGTTGAGCTGTAGAATATATTTACTATTTACTATTATTAGGTTGAATTATGCTTTTGCATTATTAAACACTTTTTTGTTTAAAATAATTTTTGTAGAAAAAACTTTTTGCTCACGATTAAATAACATTTCTAGGTTGTACAGAAACCATTCTATCGTAGATGATTTATGGAAGTATGTGTGTGCTGGGTTAAGTGTTGTATGTGCAATTTTGGTCTCTTGGAGCAGGTAATTGATACATTTTTTATTCTTGATGTTATATATTTTATAGTGAGAGTAATAGCCATTGTCTTAAATTTGAAAATATCTAACCCTTGCGTTCTTAAAAATTTTCCAGAATTTATTTAAGCTACCACACAATAAGTCAAGTTCTATTAGGAGCTGTAATAGGGATTGTGTTAGGCTCCTTGTGGTTTGCAAATGTGCACTTTTTACTTTCTCCATTCTTTCCATTGCTAGCTGGCTGGTAAGTAGGAATGAATACATTATTTATTTTACATTGGAAAAAAAAATGCATTTGTGATTCATATACGAATATATTATCTCTTTCATCAATTTCTATGCTTTTTGGCCTCAAATTATTGCATGATACAAGGCTCTAACTTAAGTCTTTACTGGATTGAAATTTAATTATTTGGTATTGTAATTTGTAATATTGGTATTGTAATATTGTAATTAACATTAATATTAAACTTGATTATTAACATTCTGATTGCTTTTTAAAAAGCAAATTAAAACATACACTTTATCCGGACTTCATAAAAGTTATTTTCCACTCAAGGCTAAATTATTTTTTTATTCTTTTTCAGTCCTGTGGGTGAATTTTTTATGTTGCGTGATTCGACATTAATTCCTCATGTATTATGGTTTGAATACACATGCTCAAGATCTGAGGCCAGGTTAGTACTTAAGTTCTGTTAATATTCTTTATGTTGAACTGGTGTGTAGGTCTAAGTAATTTTTTATGTGATTTGTTTTGATAAGGGACAACTGTGACTCTTAACATGAGCACCCGTCGACTATAGGAGTGTGAAAAATTTATATTTTTACTTCTTAGTGCATTTTTTTCGTTTGTGAAATATTATTTTTTATGATTTATAAATATAATAGCATTTTTCTTAAATTTTATATTTTTATGTGAGATTTATTTTAATTTCACAGAGTAATACAATTTTCAATTACATTTTTAGAGAAAAAACTGGCTTTTTTAAAAGCATGACTGTTGGAATGCAATCTTTTTCCAAACTGTTTTAAAGTTCTGGAATTTATGTTTTTTGTCTTGTTCGCAGAAGCCGTCAGAGAAAAATGTCCTCGAGAAAATCCCAATGATGGTACGCCTCCTGGAGGTGATTACATGAAGGAAACAATGCTAAGTGGAACATCTTCAACAAACATTGCCTGTGATATTTACGCCATTTAGGGCCAGTGTAATCAACTTCTTGAGCTGCTGGGGTATGGCAGCATCTGTGTATGTGACAGCACATGTTTATGTGTATATCAAGTTTATATATACATATCTTTGAAAGCCTGCATATACAAGTCTGGTATAGCTTATGTTTATCTGTCAATTTTAGAAAATTATTATGTAGTATATTTGATTAACTGTTGATGAAATGTTTTTTAACTTTAATTTTACGTTGATTATACTTAAGCAAAAAGAGTGAATGACTGAAAATGAGCTGTAGCTAGAATTATAGAGCCTACAAAAATGTGTATGTTAAGCTGATTTGGTCACTGATTTATTCATAATTGTATTAGGGATCACATAGTGTAACTTTTGTCAATAATTTGGTTTTAAAATAGCTGTGAGTGAAAGCTGATCCAAAACTTTTTTTGGCTAAATCTAAAATCATTTATGCAACTTTGTTTTAGCAATAATTTTGTTGTATGACTTGTATTCTAAATATGGAGGGTAAAGCATATAGTCTAAGGCAACAATGTTCCAATATTGCTATTAACTTTTGTCTATGTACTATTGCATTACCAACAGCAATTTTTTAATATCAACTTTAATTTTATTCACTTTTAACACTAATGATTATTAAATATGTTTGTTCAGTGTTGTATGTGAAATAATTTAAGCTTATGTAACATTTGTTACACTTTGAGTTTTTTAGGTTGAAAAATGTAACATTCTTTTAAAAAAAAATATTCATGCTTGATATATATTTTGTTGGGCCAGCGCTCCACATAAGTCTCTACACCACATAGGTCACCACACCCCATTGGTCGCCACACCACATAAGTTGCTACACCCCATAGGTTGCTACACCACATGGGCCACCACATCACATAGGTCACTACACCACATGGGCCACTACAGGGCAGTCTTATATCCACTTTAGGCTCCATGACAGGCCACATTAGATTCAGTTTTAAGCAAATATGTCAATGAGTTTATATTTTATGGACAGAATGTTGTAAAACTTAAATATTTTACAAGTTCTACTGTTTTCTCAAATTTTGAGAGAATGTAATACATCTCCTGTGTAACATTTACACCTGTCTTCCTTAGTGCCACTCATTGTTTAGAGCAGTTTGAATTGTCCTAGTTGTGTATTGTGACAATGCATGTAAGCTGTTTATTTACTGCATTTATAATTGTGTACATGGAACACGTATCAATTTAAGTCTTTAAATTCATTTGATAAGCTACAAAACACAAAGTAAGTTCATCAGTTAGAACTTTCATGGGTAGTGATAGGTCTAGATACTGGCCTATAGCTGGGTCAGCAAGGTTTAATTATAATACATCAACATGGTCTATAAGCAAGTGACAGCTAGTGGGGACATGACATGTGGTTAACTGACATGAGTGGATGGGACATGTCCTGACATGAGTGGGTGGGACATGTCATGATATGTGGTTAACTGACATGAGTGGGTGGGACATGTCATGTGGTTCAAGTGAGATCCACCTACTGGGTATTGTGGTGACTACTTGTTTAAACCGGCCTGCTGTCAATTTGCCTGACTGGCTGTAAATGACATGTGACATCATATACCGCCATGACGTGGCACTGCATGACAAACAGATTACATCAAACCTAACTGGTTACAATTATGACAGAACTTGTAAAAACAAAAATGAAAACTTTTCTCAATTGTGTTGTGTCCCGCCATGTGCAATAATTAAACGTGAAAATATCTGTTTACCTCAGCTTGGGAGAGGATTTTAAAACATTTTTTGAAGTCCACTAGTACAAGATTGTCTTTTTTAAAAAGTGCTATAGTTGTGTGGCTTTATGGCACACCTAACCTTGATAAATCATATCCTTCAATTTTTTTGTGTGTGTTTGAAAATAGATTGTTTAAATGTCCTTTATTTGAAATCCATTTATTGGAAGATAGACCTAGAAGCCAGAGACAAGAAAAGATTGTATTCCTTCATCATCCTGTACTGTAATTGAAACACTTGATTTTCAGGTTATTTTTAAGTTGGTTGAAAAATGTTTAATATCTTTAAAAAATTATTGTGTATTAGAAGCAAAAAAAATAGCTTTTACCATTTAACAAATTTTGGTTTCAACTATAGTATCAGATTATTTACAATTTGTAGCTTTAATGCAAATGTGTACACCAGTATTTATTTTAGCCGAGGACTCATATTTTTCAAAGGTTTTGTAGTGGCAATAAATATTGTTTGACAAATGGTCAGCTACACCAGTCTGAGTGAATATTAATTTGAACAGCTAGAGGTCAGTAGGCTATTGTGTCACATTCCTGCTTGAATACACTGGCTGTATACAGGTCTTGTCCAGCATTTGCATATAAATATATAAGTAAGGTAGACAGAATTAAAAGAATATTCCAGTCAATTTTTCTTTTGCAATTTTGTTTTCAAATTTGTTGTTATTGTGATAACTTTACGTTTTCAGTTGTTGTAGTTTCCAAGCAGTTGTCGTAAGCTACACACATGTAAAAGCAGACTTGTATTCAGCATCTTAATTTAATCACATAGCTTTTCCTTTTTTTTACGCTGGTTGTAAAATGTTTACATCTTCAGGTACTCTCCTATGTGGGAATAACTTTTAATGTTTACATTTCCATTTTATGAATTATTTTATCTTGGTATAAAATGCAGATCAGAACTTTCCACAAATTTTATTATATTAATACCTGATTTCATAGGGTTCTAACTCTGATGGCATTTAAGACCGTGGTAGCAATAAAATAGAGTATTTATCACTTATCCATTTTAATAGAAATTTATTTACAATTTAAAGTCTTTCTATGCTAAGTTTTTGCTTTGGTAGTGTAACTGTGGTACATACCTGTGTGAAATAATGTAACTGTTTAGTATAGCTGTAGAGTGTTCCACCTTGCGTAACTGTCTGTTGGGGTAATGGAACTTGCGAGTCTGTTTAGTCATAATGTGAATGCACTCTTCATTAAAGCCCAGTTCAGAGTTGTCAGTGTAAATAATGAAGCATTGAGCTTAATTTTCCAGTGTATTATGATTTATTCAGAACATTATAATCAACAGTAAATCTTAAATAAATTAATGCAATGTTTCAACACCAGGTCTTCATCAGAGCTAATTAATTTATTGTGTCTTTAAAGTTTTTGTAAACATAACATCACCTACTGTCCACTTATTGTTCAAGCAAGTACTAGCTAGACCCTGGTTTATAGAATATAAAAAATGTGTGCCAATGTTGTATGATTTGAGTAGCCTCCACCAGAAAGTGTTCAGCCCTATCCTATTTGTGATTGTCGTGTGAGAAAGTTCTGATTGCAGCCATAATGATCTCAATTTTCTCCCTTTATTCTAATTGTTGTTTCCACTCTACCTATTTATTTTATTGCAGTGTTGAAAATGCCAAAAAATGAAGCCTGTTTTAGAACCAAAACTATGCATATTATAAACAGGCATAATAATATAGTTTAGATTTAGGTTGGAGTGAAACAATATGCAGTTAGACCGATATAATCCAAATGACGGTTTGACATTTGAATATATTTTTCAGTATGGCATTACCATACTCCAGATGGTCTCTCCTTAAAGCATGACTTCACTTGAATAATTCAAGTAATGCTAAATGAATACATAACCATGTTTAAGAATCTCATAACTAGATTACCAGTGTCATATTTTTGTGTTGTGCTAAATCATTAAAAAGATAAACTGTGAATAGATTTGATTGTTTAATCTGTACCACCATGCTCATTGTTAACCATAGCTGGAAAATACTACTATAATACTTGTCCTTTAGTAGATCATTTTCTACTGGAAAAAAAATAATTAATAATTGTAGAATTATAAACATTGGGGTTTCTGTTTTCATTTATTTAAGTATTTCATTGAAATTTCTATTTGTAATAGTCTGAGTTAAGTTGAGACATGAGCTGCAGACTACTAAAAAAAAAACTTAATAGGTGGCCAGTCAAAATTATGTTGGCCAGTTACATTCTCTCTTGGATGGCCAGTCAAATCTATGTTGGCCAGTTACATTCTCTCTTGGGTGGCCAGTCAAATCTATGTTGGCTAGTTACTTCTCTATTAGGTGGCCAGTCAAAACTATGTTGGCCAGTTACATTCTCTCTTGGATGGCCAGTCAAATCTATGTTGGCCAGTTACTTCTCTATTAGGTGGCAAGTCACACCTCAGTTTGGTGGCCAGTCAAATCTATGTTGGCCATATACTTCTCTATGTGTGGCCAGTCACATAGCTGTTTAAAAGCTCATGACAATTCTCCGTCTTTAAGGTCTTTCACCCTAAAATTACTAAATTATGTAACTTTCATCACTATTTAGCATAATAATGATTTGATAATTTTAAGTCCAAAACAAAATTATTTAGCAAATCACATTGTTTCTTATCAAAGCTCATGGTAACTTGTTTGTGTTCTATCCTATTATTGCCCAGTTCACAAATAACTATTTTTAAAAAATCATGTTTTATCATGGTATGCTGTATAATTGTCTGTATTATAATTGTTGTTTGTTACGTTATTGTCCTGTTTAAATGAGACACTATTTGTCCTTTGATTTAAGTTTTCACTTTTACCAAGTTAACTCTTGGTAATGCTTTTTAAAAAATGTAACAACTTTTTTGTGAATATTGTAAGTTGTTAGAGGTTATTGGGAAAAAATGTTTTGATAAAGTAGTCTAAATGGATCCATTAGTTATTGAACTTAATTAAAACTGAAAACATAAAAATAATTTCATTTTAATCAACTGTAGATCAATGGTTGGTTGTCAGTTTGTAGAATAATAACTTTGTATGTTAACTCAACCTTCATCATTGTACAAGTGAATAACGGTATGTTAACTCACCCTAAATCCTCATACACGTGAATAATTTTGTATGTTAACTCACCCTAAATCATTGTACAAGTGAATAACTGTTGTTAACTCACCCTTTTCATCATAGTACAAGTGAATAACTGTTAACTCACCCTAAATCATGGTGTCTTCTCACAACTATTTCTCATCCGTCTGGTCCCCCACCTCACTATGGTGACTGTTGTACTGAAGGTTGTTTCACTTTGTCCGTCACACCTGCCACTTGTTTACCACACCCCACCATGTTAACTGTCTTTAAACTCATGGTTTACTTGTAAACGCACAATAAATGTATACTTGATATTTCATTTTTTAAATTTTGTCATTTTTTATTCAAGCAATGATAATGGGGGTTTGATAAACTGCCACAAAAACAGTGTATGCATTTTGTGTGTTCATCTATTCAATCTTTCCTATGCCACTTGCTTTGCCTTGACATATTTGTGAAGATTTGGTTAATCATTCAACATTTGTACCTTTTATTGCTAACCTAGGACCTAAATCATTTTTATATCTTCACACCCAACCTCTTAGCTTACTCTTGCTTGTTCAGCAAATTTATCCCTATTCTTTATCCCCAAATTCTTTTTTCTGACATTTATAAAATGTTTTGATATTTTTTTGGGCAGGTTGTTCCGACATTTTTTCTTCTTTAGTATTTAAAAAAATTTACTTTTAAGTATTTTTTTGTCATAATGACTAATATAACACTTATCAAATTTGTGCCATCTGTACACATGTTCATGTACTGTTTATTTTAATTTAAAATTTTAAAAATAAATGAAGTGATATTCTTCATCAGTATATGCATACTTTATAAATTGTTATTATTCCTTAATTATTTCAGACATGTTTCATGAATTGTAAAGCTCACCAATCTACTGTTACTTTAGCTTTAAAATACTGCCATACAAAGACTAAAACAATCAGCATGTTCAAAATGTAACGTCCGAGCAAAAAAAAAATATTTTAACAAATTAACCGAAGCTTGGTTTAAACTTGGATGTTGTACTGTAGTTGGTCTAGTAACGTTTTGTGCTAGAACCACTTGATGTAACTTAAGAGATGGATCTTCTTTCTTCCTGTGTACAGAAATATTTTTATCTCAAAATTTCTATTAAAAAAAATTTTGCTTTAATAAAGTGCTGAGTGTACAACAAATTTTGTGTTTGCTTGTTGCTTCAGTTTTGTTTCTGAAAATGGTTTAAAAAGTTATGACTTTACTAATAGTATACACTTTTTAGAAGCCATGCAAAAAAATGTGCCAAATGGATAAATCTTGATGTAAATGTACAATATACCGAATATTGACCTGTACATTTAGCAACGCCTCTGATGGAAACTTGACTCACTTTAGCTGGGCATAGTTCTGACCACACTTTCCCCTCGTGTGCCAAGATCACAGAAACAGGTGAATTCTAGTTCACTTGCCCCAAAGAATGGGCACTTGACTTTCTTATATTTAGCAAGAGCTATCCACAATGTATGCTTCCCCCCTTGTTCACAAAAAGCCAGACTCCCTAAGTTAAAGTAGGCTAGTCACAAAGTTGAACCTGTACCCCCTAAAAAGTACCAAATTTTTAAATCATTATTCATTGTTTAATGATACAAAGTTCATGCTAGGTAACATCTTTAAATGTTCATCACATTGTCTCAAAAGTCCTTGTTTGCTTCTTTCACCATCCACTGAACAATATCACAGTATAAAATGTCAGTGTTGTTTTTGTTGTCATGCATCAAGTTAAACCACCAAAATAAATAAACCACCATCTTACTTGTTATCTAAGTAAAATGTAGTTCATGAAGCGTCCTATAAAAGCCATCCTCTCTTCTCTGACCATCCATTGAGCAGAGATACAAGTCACTGAGAACTTGCTCACCAAACACAGTGTCCAAAAATTGTGAATAAATAGACGGCTCAATGTTTCTACTCCCAAACTTTTTTCTCTCAGGTCTCTTTACTTTTATTATTGTTACATGGGGTGTGAAAGTTTCATATTCGTCCCTAATATCTATAGCGCTATCTGCTAATCTTTTGACTAAAGTCTTATGAAATAGAAGAAAGTCTTCTCTGACTGTAACTTTGGCAAATATTGCTCTGTTATAAAACTGAGACATGCTATTAATAACCAAAGGGCTAATTGGAAGTATTGAATTGAGGCTTGATTTCATTTGATTAAGAGAGTCAATGCAGTGAGTGACAGCATCTGGTGTATCAAGTCCAACTTTACAGAGAGTCAAGTGAATTGTTTCCTTTGAGAAAACACCTTTCTCTAGAAGTGGTTCTCTCTTTACCAGAAGTTTTTGAGCGTGTGAAAGTCTTTGGATAATGTCTTGGTTTGTTATTCTGACAGCAATGAAATGACTTGGTCTTTTCTGAATTGATTTTTCATAATTCCCAGCAACAGCAGTGTCTAGCGGAGAAAAAATGGGACCCTGACAAGAAGATTCACCATTTGTTATGTCATCAGTTGGAGATGAAGCTCCTTTCTTATGGTTTTTATTTCTTGCTTTGGCAAGTTTTTTGTTACAGACATCTTTTTTCTTTCTTCTTGATAGATCTGTGAATTCTAGTTCATCAACAGCAGCAAACCCAGAAGTTATCAAATAATTTTTGGCCTCTTTAACTAGTGTTATTAGCATGGGGCGGCCCGTCAATTCATTAGCCTTTGTTTCAAGAAAATTCTGAAAACTGCTTGTCTGCATTTTTGACAGACAGTCAGAAATTATGTGAACTTGTGGAGAAATTCTGGGATAGTTTTCTGTCAGCTGATACCTGAGAATGATGTAACTCTCTGGCAAGGGCTGAACAAACACAGTCAACAGCGATTTTTCTATTTTTGTCTGTGTGGTGGAGAATGACTTTTGCAGCAAATCAATCTCAGGTTTGTGTATCAGCAACCTATCCATTTCACCAGATGACCTGTCTTGTTTGTCAGCCATTCACATGCTGTCGACAGTAGCTGAGGAAAAAGCAAATAAATAAGTTATTAGAAATCTAGATAAATAATTTAAATGAAAGTGTTACAGCCTAAAACTTAAAATTGCTAAGGCAAATTAATAATTAATACTAATGACTAGGCAAATGACCTAGATAGACCTATATATTATTATTGTTTCAAAGATTTTTTTATGTCAAAAACATGACACGAAGAATATTTTCCTTTACTAACGTTACACATTAGATTACACATCATTGGTGGAATACAAAATATCCCCCCCCCCCCTGTTGTGTACATTTGGCTACATTTTTCTCACTGGTTATGTACACAAAATTTATTAAATAAATTTTAAATAAAGGAGTACCTATAAATATAAACTTTACTAACTAAACTAGTAACTACTAAACTTAACTTATAAATAGTTAAATACTTATAATTTATTTGGAACTCTTACACGAGTTTGTTTAGTTCTCCTGTTAAAAATAAAATGATACCCAATAGGCTAATTTTATTATTTTAATGGTGAAACTGGGAGACAAGAATGGATACTACACAATACACACACACACACACTGAGTAGGCCTTCTATCTCATCATTGATTAAGCAGCTAAATAAAGTTTAGTTTAATAGTTAGGCCTATCATTAATGATTAAAATGAAATTGATTTAATTTAATTTCATTAGTTACCAGATCTACTATTGCCAGATCAATATGTTGAAACTTTGCTAAACTACATAAACTGAAGTCAGAAATTATTTTCCCATTTAATTTATTACAATTTGATTCCCGAACACAATCTAATAACGCGTTTACACACTTACGTCATCTATAATAATAGTTTCGCTGTCTATCTATCTATCTATCTATCTATCTATCTATCTATCTATCTATCTATCTATCTATCTATCTATCTATCTATCTATCTATCTATCTATCTATCTATCTATCTATCTATCTATCTATCTATCTATCTATCTATCTATCTATCTATCTATCTATCTATCTATCTATCTATCTATCTATCTATCTATCTATCTATCTATCTATCTATCTATCTATCTATCTATCTATCTATCTATCTATCTATCTATCTATCTATCTATCTATCTATCTATCTATCTATCTATCTATCTATCTATCTATCTATCTATCTATCTATCTATCTATCTATCTATCTATCTATCTATCTATCTATCTATCTATCTATCTATCTATCTATCTATCTATCTATCTATCTATCTATCTATCTATCTATCTATCTATCTATCTATCTATCTATCTATCTATCTATCTATCTATCTATCTATCTATCTATCTATCTATCTATCTATCTATCTATCTATCTATCTATCTATCTATCTATCTATCTATCTATCTATCTATCTATCTATCTATCTATCTATCTATCTATCTATCTATCTATCTATCTATCTATCTATCTATCTATCTATCTATCTATCTATCTATCTATCTATCTATCTATCTATCTATCTATCTATCTATCTATCTATCTATCTATCTATCTATCTATCTATCTATCTATCTATCTATCTATCTATCTATCTATCTATCTATCTATCTATCTATCTATCTATCTATCTATCTATCTATCTATCTATCTATCTATCTATCTATCTATCTATCTATCTATCTATCTATCTATCTATCTATCTATCTATCTATCTATCTATCTATCTATCTATCTATCTATCTATCTATCTATCTATCTATCTATCTATCTATCTATCTATCTATCTATCTATCTATCTATCTATCTATCTATCTATCTATCTATCTATCTATCTATCTGTCAAGAACGCTCTAGAGAAAACACAAGGAAAATAAAAACATGCATAGTAATTCGAAAAACGAAGTATGACGTCGACACATTTAGCACAGAGTTGAAAATAATCTCAAGGCGGAAAGTGCACACAGTAATATAATGACGTCATTGATTCTGGCGTAAACATTGAATAAATGGAACATTGAATAAATGGGAAATGTTGTCTAATCTAAGTGGTTTGCGTGAAGAGTTTCTTGCATACAATTCTTCGGGTAGGGGCGAAGCCCCACCCCCCGCGTAAGAACGTCTGAGCCCCCCCCCCCCCGGGGAGGGGGCGGACACTGGAAAAAGTATATAATTATATTTCGTTGAATGGGACGGTAGACATGTTTTTTTAGGGGGGTGGGGGGGGGGGTGTGTGGGTGGGGGGGGGGGGGGGTGGGGTGGTTTTAATTTAGACTTTTTCCTCCCCGGAGAGGGGTGGGGTACTTGAAATTTTCGGGGGCGGGGGTAGAATTTTCTGGGAGGGGGCGGACACTGGAAAAAGTATATAATTATATTTCGTTGAATGGGACGGTAGACATGTTTTTTTTGGGAGGGGGGGGGGGGGGTGGGGGGGTGGGGTGGGGGTGGGGGGCGCTGGGGGTGGGGGGTGGTGTGTGTGGGGGTTGGGGGTTGGGGGTGGTGTGTGGGGGTGGGGGTGGTGTGTGGGGGTGGGGGGTGGGGGTGGTGTGTGTGGGGGTGGGTTGGTTTTAGTTAAGAGAAAAGAGACAGCACTATCAGCCTAGCGCCCGTTGTACCCTTCCTCAACGGGCCATTTTTCTCGTAGATTATATTATATGCTATAGGCCTACATGTCTAGGGAAAGAAACCGCAACAAGTAGATTCTACACATTCTCCGAGTGGAAAATGTTTCCATATTCTCAATTTTACTTGTTTCTGGGTTTGCATGTATATTTTGGTACCATTATACAGTTCTAGCAGTTAACGGGGTGTAATGCTAAGAGAAATGGTAAATGACTATTAGATCTAATATCAGCCAAAGAGTCATACGAAAGAATTTCAATCTTACGCGTTTCGGGTCATCCATAAATGACGTCACGCTTTTTTGGACGATTTTTACCTCCCCCCTGCCCTCCGTCACACATCGTCACAAAAAGTCAGAACCCCCCCCTAAAATGACGTCATACCTCAGCCTATAACCCCCCCCCCCCCCCCTCAAAATTGCAGTTGCATTTTTCTTAAAACATCGATATTTTTCCAAAAACTTATCTGAACTCTCTCAACATATAGTATTTTAATCAACTCCTATTACAATTTATTAAAACAGTTTTCTAAAACGCGAAATAACGACTAAAATTCGTTTTCCAACATTACTTTTTGTTAATGCAAAAGTGTGACGTCATACCATCTGAACCCCCCCCCCCCTCCCCTCATCACACGCCGTCACAAAATTACGGACCCCCCCCCCCTCTACGAGTGTGACGTCATTTATTGACGACCCCTTTTATGATTGTTTAATTATAAAACATTAAACTCTAAATAAACCTAGAACTAGAATCTAGCAAATTATCATTTAAGTCAATTACAATACATCATCTCTGTTCTAAAACAGTGTTTTGCTGATTATTTTGGAAACATAGATTATATAACACTATATAAGTGACTCCAAACGGGTCAATTCAGCAAGATGCGAAGCAAAATTAAATAAGTTTTAAGGAATCGAAATAAAAAATATTAGAGAATATTACAAAAAAAATCATCCTATCCATCAACCTTAATCTCACACTGTATAGAATAATAGGTCTAGTTTTAAAAAGTGCCTTTAGTAAATAGTCGTGTTAGATTGAGACCCAATGCGGCAACGCATCATCAAGATTTCTACTGATATCTACTTCCGTACACCTTATCACGCCCATAGTAGATACTAGATAGCTAAACACTTCCCACCACAAACAAAAGATATCGCACTCGAATATATGACGTATAATAGACTCTAGACCCCTACCGCTTAGGATTACATTAAGATGACGTAGTTTGATCGTCTGGTTCACTTTTAGATAGGGCTTTGCCATTGCCTGTCCGTAGGATGAATAAGCCGGCCTGAGCAAATATGGCACACGAAAGGAGTTCAAGGACATGTATTGCTACAATGAGTCAAGTGACCAGCTGTAGGATTTATGGGCGCTATCTTGAAGTTTGGTAAACTGTTGATAAGAGAATCAGATAGAGCGAGGGAGTGGTCAGCAAATACATATTATATACAATGTATAGGTCATTCTACCGATCTCTCCCCGCCCCCCCCCCCAACCCAAAGAACAAACGCCCGGGGCTTTAGTCCCATCCCCAATAATAGCCTTTGAAAGACTCAATTCAGACGTAAGGGGCATCCATAAGAGACCGTCGCACACCTTGGATGGGAGGGGGAGAGGGTGGGGGGGAAGGTTCGGACTTTTGTGACGAAGTTTAGGTAATGTCAAGAAAAAAAGGCGGGGGGGGGGGGGGGCGGGTCTCAAATATACGTCTCACAATGAGTCGTCCATAAATGACTTCACACTCGTATGGGGGAGGGGGGTGGGGTGGTGACGGTGTGTGATGAGGGTCAGGAGGGGTTCAGATGGTGTGTGTCACACTTTAGCATTATAAATAAACCGGGAACGATCTCCCCTAAACTTTCTCAAACATTCTTATAGAAAACTATGGGGGATGGCAACTCGGGATATAGACAGCATTTTTAATCAATTTTTAATTACTTAAACTTTTAAAAATAGAATAGAATCTCGTAGAAAAAAGAACTGCGTACCAAGTGAACGCCAAACAATATGTGTATAATAGGTGAACGGAAAAAAAGTCACAGAAAAAAAAAAACAGAAAAAAGTCACAGTTTTTGCTAGGAAACAAGTCACAGAAAAAAAGTCACAGTGGAAAAATTTTATCGGACAAAAGTCACAGAAATAAAGTCACAGAAAAAAAGTCACAAAAATCTTTTTAGAAATATTTTTATTAATTTGTTAAGAATTGTAAAATTTTGTATGTTTATTGTTGTGGGTTGTATTTTTTGATAGCATAAATTATTTATAGACGTTAAAAGCATTATGGTTTATAACAATTGTAAGTAAAAATACTCTAAGATAATTAACACAACAATCTCAACTTTTGTTACGTATTTAGTTAAATACGCGGTAGAAAAGTTAATTATAAAAGAAATTTAGGCACATTTTGCCGTAGGCTATTCTCTGGTCAGCCTCTCCCCAGTAGGCTTTGTCCGAACATATTTCGTGTTGTTGACGTTATGCGTCATTGACAGCCTTTGAACCTTGTCGGTTTTCTGTTTTGATCCTAAGTTTCGTTATGTAATGAGCGTGATAAATGTGGGCAGTAAAGGTGGTTGAACTAAACATAACTATTGTTGCCATGAGTTGAGGGCAGCAAGTCAGATGAACTTACCATTTCACGGTAATTTAATATTGGTATTTAAAAAAACACGATGAAAAACGTGGACTTTGGAGCATTCTAATCTTAAGTTTAAAATAATTACAATCTACATACTTCATAATAAATATTTTTAGATGAATTATAAAAATTCCTATGCGTATACAGCCTACCAGAGGCGTATCCAGGTTTTTGTTGTAGGGGGAGCGGTAATAGCAAAAAAAGGCGCCGAATTTGTAATATTTTCTATATAAGTATATATATATATATATATATATATATATATATATATATATATATATATATATATATATATATATATATATACTACAACCAAAAAACAATGAACGCGGCACAATCTGTTTCGTAGTTTCGTAATTCTTGTAAAAAAAAATTACATAATAATTCCTGGGACATCTATTAAGACTAGCGAAAAGGTGAAATAATCAATATCTTAATATAAACATGTATATGTCTACACATTTTATTAAAAATATCAAAACAAATCAATTATTACTTTAGAATCTAATAAAGTAGCTTTACACTATTCGTTTTTACAAAAATTATTTGTCTAAAATCAGATTTAAATATATTGTCATTATAAATGCTAAAGAATTACAGCATAACGAACGTTTTTTAAAATAGAGTTGGTATAAAAGCCAGCTTTTCCTATAAAAGTAAAACGTTCCGAATAATATCCTACATATAACTAAAATGTTGGTCTAACATTTCAATCCTGCACTTTTTAAATAGTAAATAGCTACTGACTTTCTGTGTTTTTTAAAGATAATTTTTTAACATAATGAGAAGGTATGGGTTAGATCACTGTATTGCTCACACACCTTTTACTGGTAATTGAAAAAAACAATATTCACAGAGATTTACGTTTCAAATGTGCCGACCAAAGATATTTTTTTAACAAATATCAATGTTTAAAACTTTGAGTTTAAAAAGTTTCCAAAAAGGCGCCACTTTGCTAAAAATGGCCAGAGGGGTAGCGGCCGCTCCCCCTGCTCCCCCCCCCCCTGCGTACGCTACTGCAGCCTACACACATTACATTACATTTAATAAATCCTAAGTTAATTTGCACTCTCTAAATATTTAATACATAAAAGTATTAACAAATATGTAAATATATATTTGTGACTTTTTTTCCTGTGACTTTTTTGCCTGTGACTTTTTTTCTGTGTTTTTTTTCCTGTGTTTATTTTTCCTGTGACTTTTTTCCCCCTACAATCGTATAATAGTGCGGAATATTATTAGTACTTTTCGGAAATAGCGTAAATTACTACTTCTGGTCAACAAAAATTACTCAAAATTTGACAGAAGGCAGAGAATTAGATCTTTTACTGACTAGTGAAATTTCCTTTATAAAGTACTTAAGTTATAGGCTTTTGAAAAATTAAAAGTAGAATAAGTTCCACTTCCGGTTACCGAAAATTGCTGAAAAGTTGATACAGAACTACGATTTTAATATAATACTTGGGTCATCCATAAATGACGTCACACTCGTAGGGGGGAGGGGGGTCCGTAATTTTGTGACGATGTGTGATGAGGGGGAGGAGGGATTCAGATGTTGCGACGTCACACTTTTGCATTATAAAAAAGCAATGTTCGAAAACGAATTTTAGACGTTATTTCGCGTTTTAGATAACTGTTTTAATAAATTGTAAAAGTTTAGACAAGATTTTAGAAAAATATCGATGTTTAAAAAAAATTCAACTGCAATTTTGAAGAGGGTTGTAGGTTGAGGTGTGACGTCATTTTAGGGGGGGGGGGTCTGGCTTTTTGAGACGACGTGTGACGGAGGGAAGGGGGGGGGGAGGTAAAAATTGTCAAAAAAAAAGCGTAACGATACTCAAGTTTACGTGCTCACAGACACGTACATACACACAGACATACGGACAAAATTGCAATACAATGTTTTTTTCCACTCAGGGTGGTGTAAAACGATTTTTTGCACGATTACTTCCTCTGTAATTCGTATACGAGAAAGTAAAAAGCAATTTTAGAAAGCGAATTTTAGCCGTTATTTCGCGATTGAGAATTTAAAAAAAAATTGTAATAGGAAGTGATTAAAATACACTATGTCGACAGAGTACAGACAATGTTTTTTGAAAAATATCGATGCTTTAAGAAACTGCAATTTTGAGGGGGGGGGGGAGTTGCAGGCCGAGGTGTGTCATCATTTTAGGGGGGGGGGGTCTGGCTTTTTGTGACGATGCGTGACGGAGGGGAGAGGTAAAAGTCGTCAAAACAGCGTGACGTCATTTATGTGTGACCCAGGGGCGTAGCGAGGGGGGGGGGGGGGCGGGGGGTGCGGACCGCACCGGGTGACACCATTTAGGGGGGTGACACCAAGGCAAAAAATAGCAAAATATGTAGAGAAAAACTCGAGGGGGGGGGTGCAAATCGAAAGATTGAGGGGGGGGGGGGGTGCAAATCGAAAACTTGAGGGGGGGGGGGTGCAAGTCGAAAGTTTGAAGGGGGGGTGCAAATCGAAAACTTGAAAGTTTGTTCCTGAGAAGGGTCTTTATGCCTCTGGGGGGGGGGGGGGGTGACACCATTAAGTGCCGCACCGGGTAACACCCGACCTTGCTACGCCACTGGTGTGACCCCCCACCCAAGCGCATTTAAAAAAAGTAATGGTAGATACAGAAAATCATATTATTATTTTAAAAGACATTTTTTTTTTAAAGTGTGAAAATTGATCATTATAGATTGTCCTTCTTGTATTAGCATGCTTGGGGCACTTATTCCACATTATAGTAGATCCATTTAATGCAGCTATTACTCTTGCAAATCTTAATTAAAATGTTCTTTTTTTCTTTTAGGGGTCATTCATTTATGAGGTCTACATGTTGAATTTAACAACAAAATACTTACATTAAAAAAAAACTGTACATAAAATGTAATTTATACAACACTATCAACCTAGCACCCGTCGTATTTCTCCCTCAGCGGGCCATTTATCTAGTATGTAAATATTTCCCCCAGAGGGATAGTGTAAAATATTTTACTGGCTTTTGTGAACATTATAGGAAAACAAAATATTTTTTTCCAGTAATAATGTTTAAAATGGCATATCTAGGCCCAATTGCTTAAAAATATATGCAAAATATTATTTTACTAAAAATGAGTAGTTTTTTGTTTTGTTCCGTAGCTTTAAACTTTTGCTTTAACTTTTTGATTCAACTTTTAGCGCATCTTTTATTGAGGAGAGTGCCCATGTTTAGTTCTAGATCTTGTCACAATCTCTGTAGATCTGGTGGTAGCAACTTGAAAACTGGATCTAGCTAGACCTAGCTCTATATCTAGCTAATTTGACTTATAAATATAAATATTCGAAAGAATAGACAGTCAACTCGGATTAATATTTGGCAATCTTCATAGTCATTTCACAAATTGTGAATTTTTTTTGTCCAATGATGCCTAAGTCAGAAGAACCGACTTACCCTTTCTGTCCTGATGAAACAAAATACGAGAAGTTGGCCAAAATTGGCCAAGGAACATTCGGGTGAGATATTTTAATTTAGATCTAATATTTCTTAATTTAAACATTACATTTACCTTAGAATGCTTCACACATTTCTTAATCATAATTTACAGAATTTAAGACTGTGCTTTAAGCAGTGCTTAGTCTACTCTAGAATCTAGAGAAAATTATAAATTAATAATTATGATCTGCGGACACACATGACATAGCAAAAAAAGTCATAAGTCCAGACGCCTCCTGACTTGGGTCTCATTCCATAACTATTTGTCATAGAAAAAAAGTACCACAGTACTCCGTAACCATTCTACTGTAATGTTTCATTTTGTATTCCTACACATAGAATTTGAGACATTCTTCAATTTCTTGTTTTAGTAACTTGAATGCTATCAAACATTTTTGTGTGCTTTTTATTTTTCAAAATTTTACAAGTCTTCGATTACCTCTACGAGTCATGGAACAAAGCACATTTTGGATGATTTTAGATACCACCGATAAAATTGACTCTTCCATACAATAGGTGTGTTGGGTTGTTTGGAGTATTGTAATCTCGACTAATTTTATGGTTAGAAATTAGGGTTAGAAGTATGGTAGGACCAGGGTTGGGGTTAAGGTTAGGGACAGGGTTGGCATTGACATTAGCCAGCCATGTTTGTATTTAGTTAACTACCAGTAACCTAACACCCCTTTTTTAAAGATGATTCCATTATTGGACACCTGCATAAAAATTTCCCCCCCCCCCCCCCCCCCCACATTTTGTTCATTTATATTAATTTAGAATAATTTAAATTCAATTGAATGAATAAAATATAGGCCTATATTATATGCATTTATATTGTTACTGATTGTTTGTGCAGTAGGCCTAATTTTAATAGTTAAACTGTTTTTCCCACACTCCCAAAGCACGCCCCATTCAGCCACTGTCTTACGTAAAGAATCTATGTTGTGGTTTGCTCAGTTCGCTGCTAAGCCAGCCAAGTCACATCATCCCCCCCCCCCCTTTTTCATTTTCACCGACCACTGCCTTCTTGACCTTATTTCAACAACCAGCCTCTTTTACAATGCAGTCCTTTGTCTAAATGCTCAGTTGTTCTATTACCAACTAAACCATTGACCACTCAGCCTCCTTATCAGGCTCCAATAGTGGGCTAATGATTTACTTTACATATTCATCTTCTGTTTTTACTTTATAGAATTAGATCACTAGATAGATTCTAGAGATAATTTAGGTTTAAACTAAATTCCTATTTAATAACACTTTAATAAAAATAGAAATGTGCGTACCATGCAACGTTGAAAAAATTCTAAAAATAATTCTTGAGAGAAAACTGACGTACTTGACAAGAGAGTGTTCATAAATGAAGTTTGCAGGCACCGTGGTTTCACATGAGACATGCTAATTAAAGTTTCTATGAGCCGAAAACCTACAAAGTGTCGTTATAATATGTGTTCCCTTTGATGTAAATTACTCTAGATTCTAGTCGATTTTCTCCCTAAATTTTTTAAATTAAAATTTTTCTTTCACACCATTACAAGCCATATCCGTTATGGTTCAATTTGTAAAAGAAACTTCTTCATTTGGCAAGTACTGGGCATGTGACCCCCATAAAAAAACTTGGTTTGCTTTTAGTTTTAAGTAAAAATGTGCTAAATCTTACCCAAATATGTAGGCCTAAAAAAATTTGTAAATTAATTTAAACTACTGTTAAGAATGATAAACAGCTTAGTATGCACATACTATCTTGAGGTGGGGGCGTTGACAAATTGCCATTTGAACCTTTTACTTTATTTTTGTGTGTTTTATGACAATCACCATAACTTCCTGTATGTGCCCAAGACACATGGGGTAGATGAGTTAATCTGCTTCAGAAACCTCTGCAATTTGGTTCCAATTTTTTACGGGCATAAATTATGCTAATCAGGAAGCTCACATATATTTATGTTGAGATTTATAAAAATATTAGCTCATTTAATTTCCTAAAATATAATATATATTTTCATGCATGTAAAATAGTTATATATTTTTTCAAATTTGTTTTGTGATGCGTATAAGCGCAAAACTTAAAAGTAGGCTCCATCTACTTAGCACTGGCTCTCTAATAAACCTTCCTCTTAAGAGGATTAAAAAATAAATAAAAACAATCGAGGAAAGTTTAGGCCTAATGGTTTATATTTTTAGGTGTGATATAAAATGCGGTGATAAATCTAGTCTTTAATTAGTGGATTTTGGCACTGCACACAAAATCTCATCAGCATTTAGGGGTTATTTGATTTAAAAGACAGAAATACAGAAAGCTACTTTCACTAATTGATGAAATCCTCTTAAAGTTTTTTACAAATCTAATTGAATTCCCTATTCTATTTTGTTGCTATGCAATTATTAAGAAAGAGAATTTTACTATAACGAATTAGAATCTATATTTAAATGTTTTTTAAACTTTCGTTCCCTTTTGAGGAACCTGTAGGTTTTCATTATGTTTGCAGATACAATGGGGATATTGTAGTATATTGACAGAAATGATAAATAGTTGGTATATTTTTGTTTCCTTATATAATACTCCATTTTAAAAAAATGCAAAAGCGTAATACACAATTAGTATACAGTTTTGTGATCTAGTTACTTCATTTTCTCAGACGATACAGTTTTAAACAAACATTATTTTAACCTAGGGCTGATGCTTTAAGGTTCTTAAGATTATGGCAAAGTCAACCAGGTAGTAGTAGATCACTTAGTATAATTTTATGGGTGAGACATTTTTAGTTAAGTAAAATGTTATTCAAAAAGTTTTGAGAATGTTTAGTTTGATACTGACTAGAAAAGGAGTCAGGGAATAATGAATCCTGAGGCACTAGTTTGTGACTGTACAATACAGTGGTCACTACCTTTGACAGTTTGTCCATTTGGGAATAAACTGAACTTGTAAGTTAATCACACTGCTCACCCTTCATATTTACTATTGTATTTCTGTCTACACAGTGAGGTGTTCAAGGCTAGGGATAAGAAGAGCAAGACTGTGGTGGCCATGAAGAAAGTTTTGATGGAGAATGAGAAGGAAGGAGTAAGCAAAAAAATCATTTTACTTAATAATTCATTTTAATTTTATAATTTCATAGTTTAGAGAATGATCCTTTGCAAATCAATTCTTATTTTATTGAGTTGATTCAAACAGTTACAGACATATAAAGTTACCATATATATTTGGGTTAAAGCCTAAATGAGACTGCTTAAATTAAGCATAAACTATATTGTTGCTTTCAGTTTCCTATCACTGCCCTGAGAGAAATCAAAATTTTGCAAGTATTAAAAAATGATAATATTGTGAACCTCTTGGAGATCTGCAGAGCTAAAGGTTGGTTTCTTGGCTTGTGTTTAAACATAATTTAGTTGTGTTTAGATTGCAGCACAATTTTATTCACTTAAGGTTGACAGTCAATAGGCATAACACCAAAGAAACTGTAACCACCACCCACCCACCCCACAGCCCATGTTTTATTCTCAAGCAGCCCTGGCAACCATCAATCTAGCAACCCTTTATCTATGAACCCTTTGCACCTTTGTTTTACTCTGCACCCGCCTTGAAAGCCATCTATGTAGCAACCCCCGACAACCATGTTTGACTCCAAACCTCTACAAGCATGTTTTCCTCTGCAGCAACCCCGTACAACCGCTACAAGACCACAGTGTACCTGGTGTTTGAGTTCTGTGAGCATGACCTGGCAGGTTTACTGAGCAACCCTCAGGTGAAGTTTAGCCTGGCTGAGATCAAGAAAGTCATGCAGCAGCTGCTCAATGGCCTCTACTACATCCACAGGTTGGTGGGCTATCAGCTAGGGGCTTGTCTATCTCTGGGCTATGTCATGGTCATCCTGTAACAAAAACATTCAGATTAGTTAAAGCAATGTTTGACCACAGTTAAGTAGAATTACAAGCTTAAGATTGAACTGAGCAAGAAGATTTTGGATTAGATTCACTTGTTAGTGACATAAAAATATATACTATCCATGGTTTTAGACTTGAAATTTTATAATTAAATTTTTCCCCTTATGATTATTTAAGACCGGCACATTTTTTTCAGCAATAAAATCCTTCACCGTGACATGAAAGCTGCAAATATTCTGATCACTAAAGCTGGTAAATTAAAGCTGGCAGATTTTGGTTTGGCCAGAGCTTTCAGGTAAGGTCACTCTATGTGATTTAACCTTTGGTTAGTCCAGCTGTTAATGCTGGTATTCATAGCATGTCACATTTTATTTATTTTGTTTGTTCCTCTCTTCCTGAAACAAATTTCTAAAAAAAAAATGTATTGATGGAAAACATTTCTCTACTATGCGATGTGAACAATGGACTAAGATTTTCTTCCTTCCTTCAGTGACAAGCTGAACAGGTACACCAACAGAGTGGTCACGCTGTGGTACAGACCACCTGAGCTTCTGCTGGGTGAGAGGAACTACGGACCAGCCATAGACCTGTGGGGGGCTGGCTGCATTATGGCTGAGATGTGGACACGCAGCCCCATCATGCAGGGCAACACAGAGCAGCACCAGGTACAAGAATCTGTTGTCTTTGCTGCCCTCCCAATATGACACTATCTTTCTATGTGGCAATTCTCCCCTTTATAATGCAAGATAGTGCAATGCAATGCAGCATTTCATTAGATGGATTTAAATAGCTAAAAAAAAGCATGGTTCTCTTTAAAAGTTTTAGAAAGGATATTCAATATATAATATAGTAACACACATCTTGTAACCAGAGGTCATTGAAACAAATGTACTCTACTTCAACTACCCCATTTGGGCACAAACGAGTGATGGTGATGATGAAATAGTAGTGTATTTAATATAGTTATAGAAAATTTTCTTTTTAGTGCATATATTGCATTAATTCAATACAAACAAATGGCATAGGTAAAGGAATAGCACACCTAATGAACGCACAGCATTGTGTGAATAGCACAATCAAATTAGTCCCTTGTATAGTAATCTCTGATTCATTTTAAAAGTAACTTTTTGTCATGTTTGATGTCACATACATTGGTCTTGACCTTTGTGTTTAAAACTAATTGCTTTGGTAGAAGTAGTTGAATTTTCATTTTAAAGTATGTTCTGACACATGACAAAGACAACAGCATTAAACACAAGGAATCCACTTAAATGAGTTGTTATACTGTAGGTCTTAATTAAATTGTTGAACGAGCCTAAACCAACAGTCTAAGCTATATTTCCATGATCTGTAACACTTGAACCAATTTCTCTCCCTAGCTTACACTGATCAGCCAGTTGTGTGGCTCCATCACCCCAGAGACCTGGCCTGGTGTCGACAAACTTGACCTCTTCTCCAAAATAGAACTGCCCAAAGGTCAGAAACGCAAGGTCAAGGAGCGTCTCCATGGATACGTCAAGGATCAGTATGCCCTGGACCTGTTGGACAAACTGCTGACCCTTGACCCCACCAAGCGAGTCAACTCTGACGACGCCCTCAACCACGACTTCTTCTGGGTGGACCCCCTGCCCCAGGACCTGAACCACATGCTGTCTCGCCACAACAAGTCCATGTTTGAGTACCTGGCTCCCCCTCGCAGGCGGGCCCCCATCCACCAGGCCCCACCCCAGCAGGGGGCTGCCAGGCCAGCAGGACACAACCCAGACCAGCATTTTGAGAGAATCTTCTGAGCCTTCCTGTCTGTGGCTCATCTGTCAGTGACACACTGTGTAAACAAACTGTTGGTTGTGCTGCTCCCTCCATGGCACTCTTCTGTTTGTTGTGTACAGGACGTGGGAACTTAAACTGATATTAACAATAAAAGTCTACCAGGGCTACAGTTCCTTGCTGTGCTATCACTGGCCTGTATTGTCTGTACTTGATGGAATCTGAACTCACTGGTTCCATTCATGTACACACCCATGGTATCATAGTGGGAACATTTGAACATGTTGATTAACCATAACAGCTTCTCAATATCTCCATATCCAATTAATGTATGGGTACCTACATTTCATGAAGATTTTTATGCTAAAAGTTCACTAAGGTGTGAACTTATATTTGGGACACATGTAAACTTGATCATACTGAACAAGTTGGTACGCTTCGCGCAGTATGCTGCAATAAGATACTGCATGAGTATGCTGCGCATACAGATAGATCAAAGAAAATGTTGATGTATAACTATGATTTTTCTAATCTGGTATGGTTTTTGGTATGGTTGACTTTTTTTTTTCTTCATTGTTCTATGGTGTGTTTTTTCTGAAATAGTTGAAAATGCTTTTAGTCCCTCTGTTGTTTTAAATGTTATTCTCTGTCCTACTGAGGTGTGAGCTGCAAATCTCTTGTAGATCTGTAGCCTGAACTGTTGTGGCCTCAACTTGACTGAATGCTTGTATGGTTTTATGACTAGAGCTGGTTGATGTGTGTAATGTTGAATGAGGAAGGACTTAAGCTGACTGGTGATATGACTAATAATAAAGTTAATGACTTTATTTGACTGGGCATGTGGTGAAATGACTTTGGCTGACTGGTTATGTGGTGAGATGACTTTGGTGATTTGTAAAAAGGGACTATTGATGTATGTATATAGTTGTCATGTTACTGAATAAAATATTCCATGATGATTTTGTTACAAAATGATTTGTGATTTTATGCAGCAGTACATGGACAGTTGTGTGTACCTCACACCTGGTAAATGTTGGTGCCACTGGCAACTTTTAAGTGACAGCAATTTTTTTTTGTATGGCCATTATTGATGCTTGGTTCTATTAGACTGAGATCTGGCCAATATTGATGTTTGGTTCTATTAGACTGAGATCTGGCCATTATTGATGTTTGGTTCTATTAGACTGAGATCTGGCCATTATTGATGTTTGGTTCTATTAGACTGAGATCTGGCCATTATTGATGTTTGGTTCTATTAGACTGAGATGAAAGCATTGAGCCCACTCAAATCTGATGGGTACCCAACATGAGGTGGTCAGTGAAATTGGAGACCCTCCAGACATAAACTTTCATTAAGAATTGAATCTTCTCAGACATAACACTGGTCACTTTACATGCAATATACAATGACAAATAGTAAAGTTAGTTAATTACATTTAAAAAGCCAAAACACAAATAAAAATCACTTGTATGGACCTACAATACAAACATATATGTGTGTGTTTAGAAAAGACAACTCCTCAGAAGTCACAGCTTACAGAAAGATGTACAGAGAGTCACAGCTTACAGAAAGATGTACAGAGAGTCACAGCTTACAGAAAGATGTAATTACTCACAGCTTACAGAAAGATGTACAGAGAGTCACTCAGAGCTTACAGAAAGATGTACAGAGTCACAGCTTACAGAAAGATGTACAGAGAGTCACTCAGAGCTTACAGAAAGATGTACAGAGAGTCACAGCTTACAGAAAGATGTACAGAGAGTCACAGCTTACATAAAGATGTACAGAGAGTCACAGCTTACAGAAAGATGTACAGAGAGTCACAGCTTACAGAAAGATGTACAGAGAGTCACAGCTTACAGAAAGATGTGAAGAGTCAAAGCTTACAGAAAGATGTACAGAGAGTCACTCAGAGCTTACAGAAAGATGTACAGAGAGTCACAGCTTACAGAAAGATGTACAGAGAGTCACAGCTTACAGAAAGATGTACAGAGAGTCACAGCTTACAGAAAGATGTGAAGAGTCAAAGCTTACAGAAAGATGTACAGAGAGTCACTCAGAGCTTACATAAAGATGTACAGAGAGTCACAGCTTACAGAAAGATGTACAGAGAGTCACAGCTTACAGAAAGATGTACAGAGAGTCACAGCTTACAGAAAGATGTGAAGAGTCAAAGCTTACAGAAAGATGTACAGAGAGTCACAGCTTACAGAAAGATGTACAGAGAGTCACAGCTTACAGAAAGATGTACAGAGAGTCACAGCTTACAGAAAGATGTACAGAGAGTCACAGCTTACAGAAAGATGTACAGAGAGTCACAGCTTAAGGAAAGATGTACAGAGTCACAGCTTACATAAAGATGTACAGAGTCACAGCTTACAGAAAGATGTACAGAGAGTCACAGCTTACAGAAAGATGTACAGAGAGTCACAGCTTACAGAAAGATGTAATTACTCACAGCTTACAGAAAGATGTACAGAGAGTCACTCAGAGCTTACAGAAAGATGTACAGAGTCACAGCTTACAGAAAGATGTACAGAGAGTCACTCAGAGCTTACAGAAAGATGTACAGAGAGTCACAGCTTACAGAAAGATGTACAGAGAGTCACAGCTTACAGAAAGATGTACAGAGAGTCACAGCTTACAGAAAGATGTACAGAGAGTCACAGCTTACAGAAAGATGTACAGAGAGTCACAGCTTACAGAAAGATGTGAAGAGTCAAAGCTTACAGAAAGATGTACAGAGAGTCACTCAGAGCTTACAGAAAGATGTACAGAGAGTCACAGCTTACAGAAAGATGTACAGAGAGTCACAGCTTACAGAAAGATGTACAGAGAGTCACAGCTTACAGAAAGATGTGAAGAGTCAAAGCTTACAGAAAGATGTACAGAGAGTCACTCAGAGCTTACATAAAGATGTACAGAGAGTCACAGCTTACAGAAAGATGTACAGAGAGTCACAGCTTACATAAAGATGTACAGAGAGTCACAGCTTACAGAAAGATGTACAGAGAGTCACAGCTTACAGAAAGATGTACAGAGAGTCACAGCTTACAGAAAGATGTGAAGAGTCAAAGCTTACAGAAAGATATACAGAGAGTCACAGCTTACAGAAAGATGTACAGAGAGTCACAGCTTACAGAAAGATGTACAGAGAGTCACAGCTTACAGAAAGATGTACAGAGAGTCACAGCTTACAGAAAGATGTACAGAGAGTCACAGCTTAAGGAAAGATGTACAGAGTCACAGCTTACATAAAGATGTACAGAGTCACAGCTTACAAAAAGATGTACAGAGAGTCACAGCTTACAGAAAGATGTACAGAGAGTCACAGCTTACAGAAAGATGTACAGAGAGTCACAGCTTACAGAAAGATGTACAGAGAGTCACAGCTTACAGAAAGATGTATAGAGAGTCACAGCTTACAGAAAGATGTGAAGAGTCAAAGCTTACAGAAAGATGTACAGAGAGTCACTCAGAGCTTACAGAAAGATGTACAGAGAGTCACAGCTTACAGAAAGATGTACAGAGAGTCACAGCTTACATAAAGATGTACAGAGAGTCACAGCTTACAGAAAGATGTACAGAGAGTCACAGCTTACAGAAAGATGTACAGAGAGTCACAGCTTACAGAAAGATGTGAAGAGTCAAAGCTTACAGAAAGATGTACAGAGAGTCACAGCTTACAGAAAGATGTACAGAGAGTCACAGCTTACAGAAAGATGTACAGAGAGTCACAGCTTACAGAAAGATGTACAGAGAGTCACAGCTTACAGAAAGATGTAATTACTCACAGCTTACAGAAAGATGTAATTACTCACAGCTTACAGAAAGATGTAATTACTCACAGCTTACAGAAAGTAGTTACTCACAGCTTACAGAAAGATGTAATTACTCACAGCTTACAGAAAGTAGTTACTCACAGCTTACAGAAAGATGTACAGAGTCACTCACAGCTTACAGAAAGATGTACAGAGAGTCACATATTACTATTTGGTTTAGGTAGATATGGAGAAAATCCTCTTGCACGCCGCTTATACAGTTTTTCAGAAAAATATTTTTTAAAGTTCAAATTTAACAACAAAAAAATAATGAATAACCTAGACAAAAATATGTATGATACCTTTATTATGCCACCTACTCTACCACCCCACACACCTATCCTGCACATTGTTACAAATATCTTACAACTTTCTACAGCTACCATACAGCCATCCTACACTACAACCAGATGTAATAATTTTAACCCAAACTTAAGACGAGACAACTACCCAGGAAAAAAAATTGTGCTACTGCTACTAATTGTAATATCTTACATTACCTAGCAATTATTGAGCTAACTATGAATTATTAAGTCATCAAAATTTAACCACCAAGTATTTTCGTAATTGTCATTTATAAATTACGCAATAATCTCAATAGCAGGCAAGTCAAGATGGCCTATTTAGTTAATTAATACATTTCCTAATTATCTTTAAATTACTAGTTCATTATGGAGGTATATGAAACTATATATTAGACAATTAATTATTAACTGAACATACTAGGGCAACCATCTATTACAAAAAAAAGCCAATTATTTTTAATTCTACCATAAACCACTTAATATAGATGTAGTGATGACGTAGACATAACCACCATTTTCTTCCTGCATTGAAATTTCAAAGGTTAATTTTTTTTAACCTTTTCAACAATAATAGTAACATTTTTCTAGACTCAACCATTCCCCACTTTAAACTTCTTCGCCATCTAATTAAATATATGTTGCTGCCCTTTAATTAAAAACCAGTTATTCGCCGCTACATGTTCTTACCATGTTAAATTAAGGTAGTAAAAAACTTTGGCAGAATATTATTTAGAGTAGCTTCCCTTTGATGTCGGTCCTGTTTCCAACTTTCAACTTTGATGATTCACGTTGAGCGATCAATTTGAAGTTACGCTTATACTTAAGCCCCGCCTTACGACTTTTGTGGTAGTTTTTGTTCAGGTTTTCATATGAACGGTTAGGTTAAAAAAAAATAAAAAAATCAGCATTTGTGAGTTGTGAGGTAGGTAAAGTTATCAGGTAGGTCTGCCATCCGGCGCTAGAGCCAGGCTTGGCCGCTTGTTTACCTTGACAACCCCCCCCCCTCCCCCCACCCAGAGCTATACCAGCGGGAGTGTAAACTCCTGGCAGGTTCAACCAAGCAGTGAAGATCTGCGTGGGTAGGGGTCAGAGGAAAGCTAGGACCCTGGTCCTCCAGGTTGGGGGTCGGACATAAGGCCAGCAACCATATTAAAAAACAACAACAAATACCCGCTTCAAAAACCAAAACAGAAAGCAGTCAAACTTTTAGGCCACGTATCAATCAACGAGTAATGGAAGAGATGTCTTCAAGACATGATTGTGAAGAGGGGAGCTGATACTGGCAGTGAATACTATTTAGAGGTAGCAATGTTGAAACTCAAACTAGAAAGGATTAGAATTGCGAAAAAAGGAACAGATTCTTTGACACACAAAAACTAGAGGACACCCACATCAAAAGAGTATTCAAACTCAATCTAAAAAAATAATACAGCATTGTCATAGCGGACAAGGATCCAGCCATGCAAAATGTGAACAAAGCTATGATAGAGTCCGCCAAAACAGTCTTAGGATTCAAAAAGAAAGGGAAGAAGGGTGGATCAGCAAAAACACATTGGATAAATTAAGTGAAAGGAACAAATAGAAAGAACGAATATAAAACTCTAGATCACAAAGATTAAAGAAAGAAACAGAAAAGGAATACAGAGCAAAAAAAAAAAGATTTGAAAGAAATAAAAAAACCCATACAGACAAGACAAACTTAACTACCTTTACACTACCACAGAAAGAAGAAATTGCAACCCTCACAACTGACACAAAGACCCTTTACAATAAAAACTAGCAAACAACTACAACAATGGAAATAAACCGGGAGTGATCTCCCCTAAACT